TGCTGGCTGTTGGTTTGTCATAAATGGCCTTTATTATATCGAGGTAAAGACCATTTATTCCAATTTTCTGTAAAGTTCTTATCATGAATAAGTGTTGGACCTTATCGAAGGCTTTTTCTGCATCTATAGAGATGATCATGTGATTCTTATTTTTGGCTTTATTGATATGGTGGATTACATTTATTGATTTGCGTATGTTGAACCATCCTTGCATTCCTGGGATGAATCCCACTTGGTCATGGTGTATAATCTTCTTGATGATTTGCTGGATCCTATTTGCCAATATTTTATTGAGGATTTTTGCATCTGTGTTCATTAGGGAGATCGGTCTATAGTTCTCTTTTATAGTTGGGTCTTTCTCAGGTTTTGGTACTATAGTAATATTTGCTTCCAGGAATGACTTAGGAAGGATTGCTTCCCTTTCAATTTCATTGAATAGTTTGAGGAGTGTCGGCATTAGGTCTTCTTTATATTTCTTGTAGAATTCTGCAGTGAATCCATCTGGGCCTGGGCTCTTCTTGGTGGGCAAGGACCCAATTACATTCTCAATTTCATTAGCAGAGATTGGGTTATTCAACAGTTTTATATCCTCTTGATCTAGCTTTGGTACTTCATATGCTTCTAAGAATCTGTCTATTTCTTCTGTGTTATCAAACTTTTGAGAGTAGAGGTTTTCGAAATAGGTGTTGATGATCCTCTGTATTTCTATTGGGTCTGTAGTGATTTCTCCTTTTTCATTTCTTATTGCATGAATTTGAGCTTTTTCTTTCCTTTTTTTAATAAGGTTGGCTAGGGGCTTATCGATTTTATTTATTCTTTCAAAGAACCAACTCTTTGATTCGTTGATTCTTTGGATTGTTTTCTTAGTCTCTATTGCATTGATTTCTGCTCTGATTTTTATAATTTCCTCTCTTCTTTTGGCTTTGGTCTTGACTTGCTCTTCTTTTTCTAGCTGTTTGAGGTGTAGCATCAAGTTATTTATTTGTATTCGTTCTGTTTTCCTGATGTGGGAACTCAGTGCAATAAATTTTCCTCTCAGAACGGCTTTCATTGCATCCCACAGATTCCGGTAAGTTGTATCTGCATTTTCATTTTCTTTTAGGTATTGTTTAATTTCTTCTTTAATTTCTTCTGTGACCCACTGATTACTCAAGAGTGTGTTATTTAGTTTCCATGTGTTTGCGGAATTTTTGCAGTATCCTTTGTCATTAATTTCTAATTTCAGAGCGCTATGATCCGATAATATGCAAGGGATGATTTCAACTCTTTTGCATTTGCTTAAATATGTTCTGTGAGCTAATATATGGTCTATTTTAGAAAATGATCCATGTACTGCTGAGAAGAATGTGTATTCTGATGTTGTTGGGTGGAACATTCTGTATATGTCTATCAAACCCATTTGTTCACAGGTGTGATTCAGTTCTGTTATTTCTTTGCTCATTTTCTGTCTGGTTGATCTGTCCCTTGGTGTCAGTGGTGTATTAAGGTCTCCTGTTACAATTGTCTTACTGATAATTTGAGTTTTCATTTCTGTTAATAATTGTTTTATATAACTGGGTGCTCTGGAGTTTGGTGCGTATATATTTAAGATAGTTATCTCTTCCTCTTGGAGTTTTCCCCTTACGAGTGTGTAGTGACCTTCTTTGTCCTTTATGGTCATTGTTGGTTTAAAGTTCACGTTGTCTGCAAACAGAATGGCTACTCCTGCCTTTTTTTGGATTCCTGCTGCATGAAGAATTGTTTTCCATCCTTTGACTTTCAGTCCGTGAGTATCTTTCTGGGTTAGATGGGTTTCCTGTAAACAGCATATGGTTGGATTTTGTTTCTTGATCCATTCTGCTAGACTGTTTCTTTTGATTGGTGCATTGAGACCATTTACATTAATGGTTATTACTGTTAAATGCTGGTTAATTGTAGGAATGTTATCTCTCTGCTGTTGCATCTTTATCTTTCGGTTCTGTTTAATTATTTGCTTTGCTTAGTGGTTTTTTCCTTTGTGTATCTAAACTGTCTTTCAATATTTTTTGCAGGGTTGGTTTGGTGTTCATGAAGTTCTTCAGCTGTTCTTTGTCATGGAAGTATCGTATTGCACCATCTATTTTGAATGATAGTTTTGCAGGATATATCAGTCTTGGTTGGAAATCATTTTGCTTTAGGATCTGGAATACTTCACTCCATGCTCTTCTTGACTTTATCGTTTGTGCTGAGAAGTCTGCTGTGATTCTGATAGGTTTTCCTTTATAAGTGATTTGTCTTTTCTCTCTGACAGCTTTTAATAATCTATTCTTGTGTTGGATTTCTGGGATGGTGATTATTATATGTCTGGGTGTAGTTTTATTTTGGTTATGACTGTTTGGAGTTCTATATGCTTCACTGATCCTGATGTCAGTTTCTGATCTCATGCTTGGGAAATTTTCAGCTATTACTTCTCTAAATATCCTCCTGACATCCTTCATGTTTTCTCCCTCTCTTTCATTAATCCCTATCATTCTTATGTTATTCTTCTTTGCATCGTCTTGCAGTTGTTGAATTGTTGTTTCCTGGTTCCTTGTTATTTTCAAAAGATCTTTCCTTTCCTTTTCACTAACTGCAATCCTGTCTTCAAGGTCTGAAATTCTATCTTCACTTTCATTAAGGCGGTTTTTACAACTTTCAGTGGAGTTTTTTATTTCCTGTATATCTCTGTGCATCTGCATTATGTATTCTGTTTGTTTCTTATATTGCTCGTCTAGGGATTCTATCTTTTTGTTTAGTTCCTCCAATTTTTTATCTGTGTTTTCTTTAGATATATTTAGAATCTCTTTCATTTCTTTTATCATTTCTTCTTTTATCTGGGAAATTATTTCGAGTTTGAATTTCTTTAAAGCTTCCTGGAGTTGCTTGTCAATTTCAGTGGCTATTGTGTCCGATATATGAGGTGGATGGGATATATTTTCTTCTATATACATCGCTCCTAGGGTTTCTTGAGATGGGCTGGAGGTTTGAGGTTGTAATTTGGTCTTTCGTTTTGTCATTTTCCTATATTTCTGTGTTTCAAGTGTTATTTGAAAGCTTCCTCAGGATCTGTTGAAAATCCCCTTCTATGTTTGGAGCTACTGAGACTCTGGCGCCGCGCTACCCCAAGCCATTAGGCCTACAGAACCAGTGGCCCTCCTCTGCCTGCTCAGAACTCCGCAGTTACAGACAAGCTGGGCCTCAAGGACACTGTGCGCCCACCTGCCCCTTGGAAACTCCACAGTTCTTCAATCGCAGCCGGTTTAGGGTACTCACCACAGGCCGCAGTGCTTCAGGAACCTGTGGACCCTCCCTGGTTGCAGAGATATCCACAGTCCTCCAGACACATGGAGAGGCTGATGCAGGCACCCCAGATCTGCCCAGCTCCTCCTCTGCAGACCAATGGCCAGGCGCGGCAGCTAAACAGGCTGGGCTAGGCTGGTAGTGTGGGCCAGCCCACCTATGGGGAGCTCAGCAGGTCTCCAAGTGAAGCCGGGAATGGGGAGGCTGATGTGGAAGCCTCAAACCCACCTCTCCCCTTCACTGCACCTGGAAGCCTGAGGGAACTCCAGCAGTCTGGGCGCAGATATCCAGAGTCCTCCAGACACGCAGAGAGGCCAGTGAGGGCACCCCAGATCTGCCCAGCTCCTCCTCTGCAGACCTATGGCCAAAATATGCTTGTTAATGTGAATTTACATATGTATGTGCTATTTTAGATTAAACTTTTGACACTTCCTTAATTTTCATGATTAACACTAACTTTTCATTAATCCTTGGGATTCAACAACTATTACCACTGAAAAATGGGTGACCATTATTTTCCCTGCATTACTTCTATCAATAATCATATTCTAGTAATCTATTCTATCATAAATAGCTGTCTTAATGTCCTGCATAGGCATAGCTATTACATTCAACTGGTAGAAAAATCCTTTTGTATGACACACGGTGGCCCTATCTGACATTGTTGATGGTCTAGAGGTCTACATCAATTTCTGCTAACTCATAATAGTAAGATGCAATACAGGAATTTAAAATTTACTATCCTTATTCTTCCACCATAAGAATATGAATGTGTTATGTCCTTGTTATTTTTCATATGAATTCTACAATCTGTAGTCAGTTGTGAGAATTGGTTTAAAATTTTACCGTTAGCTACACTACGTTACTGTCCATGTTAAGCGTGTTTATGGGTTGCCTTGTATAAATTCTCTCATAACAAAGGGATTGGTTTTTTTTGTTTTATTTTGGTACTAGTGATCGAACTCAGCACAGTACCTGTGCTAGCCAGGCAGGTACTTATGCCTCTGAGCTAAATCCCCAGTCTGGATGTTTGTTTAGAAAAGCTTTTCCAATTTTATTGCAGTTGATAGTTTGATCTCTAGGATGACTCTCTTCATGCTATGGTGTTATCAGCTGAATACACTAATGTGTGAATAACTTTTGTGAGATCTTTCTCAGATCTACACTCTGATGTCTAGTATAGTGTGAGAGCTATGTAAAGTCTCTGTCACATACACTTACATGGTTTCTCTTTAAGACTCCATGATGTCACATTGCATGTTATTCATGGTAAAGGTTTTGTCATTGCATTCACAAGGTTTACTTCCAGTACAAATTCTTTGAAATTCCTCAAATTTAGATCTTGAGATAAAAATTTTTTGCCATACACAATACAGTTACTGATTTTTCCCCAGGATGTATATTCTTATACCAAACGAGTAGTGAGCACAATGTTAAAACTTTGGGATATTAGTTGCCATTTGGACCTGGTGAACTTTGAGTTTAGGGCCATACTTAAAGAGTTCTGCTATGTTCAGTGCATTTGTAACATTCTCTCCAGTATAGATTATCTGATTAGTGAGTTGTGGGGCCTGAGTAAAGGCTTTATCAAGCTCACTGCATCTGTAAGGTTTCTCCTCAGAATGAATTCTTTGGTGAACCCTGCAGTTAAACCACCTAAACATCTTGCTATGTTCAATACATTTACGTGACTTCTCCCCAATATGAATTTTCTCATAAGTTTATGGTGTGATCCTGTTCAAAGCCTTACTACATTCACTGCATTTGTAAGCTTTCTCCACTATGAAACAGCTGTTTAGTTATACATTAATGCACATTAAAGGCTTTACCACACTGATTACATTTCTAAGGCTTCTCTCCAGTATGAATTCTATGATTCAGAAGGTGTGAACTGTGACTGAAAACCTTGCTACACGCATTGCACTGGTTTTTCTCCAGTACATTATGTTATGTATTGAGATGGGAGCCCTGGTTAAAGGTCTTGTCACACTCATCACATCCTTAAAGTTTCTTGCCACAAGAAATTCTTTGAGCACTGTCAGACCACTATCTATAGGACTTGCCACATTCTATGCATCTATAAGGCTTCATTTCAGAGTGTACTTTTTCATGATGTCTAAGGTGGAGCAGCTTCATAAAAGTCTTGCTACACTCCCTACACTTGGAAGGTTTTTCTTCACTATGAATTACCTGATGGTAAGTTAGGCTAGAATGTACACAGAAGGCTTTCCCACACTCTTTACATTTGTAAGGTGTCATGGTTTATGTTTGTGTCCCCCAGGCCTCATGAGTTTGCATTGTTCATTTGTGATGGTTCATTGTAGAGTGCTTGGATTGATGGTGTCAGTGCTCCACCCAAATAGGGGTGGAGCCAGGATGTGATGTAATGGCAGGAAAAAGGTGTGTTTTTCTCTTTGCTGGTTTGAGTTTGCTGCTGGCAGCCGCCATGAACTGCAGCCCAGCCATGCTTGCCTGTCTTGGAGACAACTGAGTGTGGACTGAAACCTCCAAAAACTGTAAGAAATAAACCTTTCCTTTCCCAACTTTGGGCTTCAGGTATTTTGTCTCAGCGACGAGTGCAAAGTGACTAAGACAGAAATTTGGTATCGAGGAGTGGGGTCGTTTGCTGTGACTATACCTGGCCATGTTTTTTCAAGAGGCTTTGGAAATGACTTATGGGCGGAGTTTGGAAAGGTTTGGACATGTCACCTGGATGCATAGAGTTGGAGCAGCTTAGGCTGTTCTGTAGAGGAGATTCTGGTCAGAGCTCAAGAGACCAGAAAGCTGATAGAAAGCCTGATGGTAAAGACCAGGCTTGGGAGGTTTCTCCTGGAAAGGACTGCATTGGTTGTTGGACTCCACATGATGTGTGTTATGGCTTGGCAGAAAGTTTTTCTGCATTTTGCTCCTGCCCAGAGACTTTGCCTGAGACTGACACAAAGGGCAATGAACTGATTAATCTTGAAAAAGAAATTAAAAAGCAATCGAACATTGAGGCTGTGGCATGGCTATTGTTGGAGGCTTTTAGCCAGCTTTATGTTTCAAATCAGGAGCAAAGAGCCCAGCAAGATAATTTCCAATACTGTGAGTTTGGCCCGAAGGAAGATTCCAGGAAGGGTGTGGATTGTAAAGACAGAGTTGAGATTTTGATTCCTGAGGAGAAACAGAGAGATAAGAAAGATGGCCCCGGGGCATCCCAGGAAGCAGGTCCTCACCCTGTGCAGCCTCACAGCAAAGATGAAGATTGCCATGCTCCAGAATGGCGACAGAGGCCACGTGAGTTTCCAGAATGGTGACAGAGGCCACGTGAGGTTCCAGAATGGCGGCAACACAGAGAAGCTTTTCATCACAATCAGGTAGACAGAGCCCTGCGATCCAGGCAACTGACCCCTACAGCCAAGAGAGAGAAAAGCCTGGCTACTGCTTCAGCTAACAGCAAACCTTGGCGGCATCCACAAGGTGCTAATTTTAGGTGCAAGGAAAATGCATGAATTCTGAGGGTAAGACGGCTTCCACCTCTATTGCAAAGGGCCTGGGAGGTCAAGCAGTGTGCCCCTGAGAGGGCAATTTGTGAAGATGTAAAGCTGAAGCCGAAGGTGCAGTGGGGACCCCAGAAGTTTGGAAAAGCCAGGAATGTGGATGATCCAAGGGAAGCTGCAAAAAGCGAGCAGAGAAGATTTAAGAGAAAAGCTGCAGGAGTTGAAATCACCAGAGGTGCCCTGGGGGTGGAATCACCCAAGGCTTTTGGAACTTGCAACCAGAGCTGCTTCAGATGCTGAGCTTGGAACTCTAGGACTTAATGTTCGTCCTGCTGGATGTTGGACTTGCTTTGATTCCAATGCTTTGTATTCCCGTTTGTAACTTTTGGAATGGTAATATTTATCTTGTGCCTTTGCATTTCAGAAATGTTTAACCTTGTTTCTTTGGTACAGGGGCTTACAGTTAAGAGTTTGCCATAGGTCTTGGAGGAGACTTGGGACTTGGACTTTTCAGCAATGTTGAAGCTGTTAGGACTTTGGCAACTCTTGGAGGTGGACTAAATGTCTTTTGTATAAAGGATGTACATGAGTCCTGGGGGCCAGGGGTGGAATGTCATGGTTTATGTTTGTGTCCCCCACAAACATGAGTTTGCATTGTTCATTTGTGATGGTTCATTGTATAGTGCTTGGATTGATGGTGTCAGTGCTCCACCCATATAGGGGTGGAGCCAGGATGTGATGTAATGGCAGGAAGAAGGTGTATTTTTCTCTTTGCTGATTTGAGTTTGCTGCTGGTGGCCACCATAAACTGCAGCCCAGCCATGCCTGCCTGTCTTGGAGACAACTGAGTGTGGACTGAAACCTCCAAAAACTGTAAGAAATAAACCTTTCCTTTCCCAACTTTGGGCTTCAGGTATTTTGTCTCAGCGACGAGTAAAAAGTAACTAAGACATAAAGTTTCTCCCCAGTATGAATTCTCTGGTGACTTGAAAGATGGGAATTCTGACTAAAGACTGTCACACAGTTCACATTTATATGGTTTCTTTCCAGTATGGATTATCTGATGTTTACTGAATTGAGAACCCTGAGTAAAGAATTTGCCACACTCATTGCATTTGTATGGTTTCTCTCCAGCATGAATCCTTAAGTGAATCCTGATGTCAGTCCACTGCCTAAAGGCTTTTGCACACTCTTTACATTTGTAAGGTTTCTCCCCAGTATGAATTTTCTGGTGACTTGAAAGATGGGAATTCTGACTGAAAAACTCGTCACAAAGATCACATTTATATGGTTTCTCTCCAGTGTGGATTAATTGGTATTTACTGAGGTGTGAACCCTGAGTAAAGGCTTTGAAAAGCATGAATTCTTAAGTGAATCCTAACTTCAGACCAATGCCTAAAGGCTTTGCCACATTCATTACATTTGTAAGGTTTCTCTCCAGTGTGAATTCTATGATGGCTTGAAAGATGGCAATTTGGACTAAAGACTTTATCACACAGATCACATTTATATGGTTTCTTTCCAATATGGATTATCTGGTGTTTACTCAGATGGGAAACTTAAGAAGAGGCTTTGCCACACTCATTGCATTTGTATGGTTTCTCTCCAGCATGAATTCTTTGTTGAATCCTAATGTCAGACCACTGCCTAAAGGCTTTCCCACATTCATTACATTTGATGGCTTTTCTCCAGAATGAATATTCACATGACCCTTAAGATTTGAACGATTGATAAAAGCCTTTTTACACTCATTACATTTGTAAGGATTCTCCCCAGCGTGAATTATCAGATGGTTAGTCAGGCTTGAACGTACAAAAAATGCTTTACCACGCTCGTAATATTTATGTGGTTTCTCTCCAAAATGAATACTTTGATGGTCCACTAAACTTGAATTTTGGATAAACATTTTACCACATTTATTACATTTGTGTGGTTTCTCTCCAGTATGAGTTCTGTGATGCTTCAGGAGTTGTAACTTTTGGGAAAATGCCTTGCCACATTCACATTTGTAAGGTTTCTCTCCATTATGGATCATTTGATGGTTAATTAGGCTTGCACGCACCTTAAAAGCTTTGCCACATTCATTACATTTATAAGGCTTCTCTCCAGTATGAACTCTCTGATGATTTTCAAGATGTGAATGTTGACTGAATGTTGAGACACTGATTACATTTATATGGTCTCTCTCCAATGTAGATTCTATAATGACTTGCTAGGTTTGACTTCTGACTGAACATTTTGCCACATATATCCCATTTATATGGCTTCTCTCCAGTATGGATCATCAGATGTCTGTTAAGATGGGAGCCCTGATTAAAGGCCTTGCCACACTCACTACATTTGTAAGGTTTCTCTCTGTGTACTTTCCAGTCTTGTGAGTGTAATAAACATTGGAGGGGATTATTCTCATGTATCTCTGCAATGTTACAGTTGACTCTGGGAAGAACTGGTGGAAGTGGTAAAAATGAAGAACCAGCATTGCTAGATTTCTCAAATTGACTACATTTATAAATTTTACTTTTACTCTGAAATCCCTGAATCTCAGTTAGATGTGTCCAACAGCTTAATTGAAACTGATTTTCAACAGACTTCTTTTCTGTAGGCTTTCTATACTGATCTCCTTTGCCAGTGAACTCATTTCTTTGCATTACAGGTGCTCCTTTATAATTTCTTTCATTGTTTCTCCCTTGACAGTCAACATTATGCATCTTTTCCCAGATTACCCTAAAGTAGAAGTCTTGGATGTGGTGAAATTCATGTCTTTCCAATGTCATATTTTGAGATATTTCTCTGATGTTCTTCTTCTCTGTAGGTGGTAATTCCTGGATCACACATGTAGAAGATGTATCTACAAGGTACAAAGAATACAGGCAATTAGTGGTTTCTTTTTTTCTTTCTTTTTTTTTTGAGATATTGGGGGTTGAACCCAGGGGCTCATGCATGCTAGGAAAGCACTCTACTATAGAACTATATCCCTAGCCCTTAATTAGCATATATCCTATAATTAGTATACATGCTGCTCTTGGTCCCCAAAATTTATACCATTCTCACACATCAAATATATTTGTTTCATCCCAATGATCTCAAAAAGCATAGTTTTTCCAGCAAAACTCTAAAACTAAAGTTCAAAGACTCATTCTATTCAGGCAGGGATGAGGCTGAAAGTACCATTTATCCAAAGCAAAATTTCTCTCTAAGCAAGAAACTTTGAAACAAGTCATATGGTTCCAAAATATAGTATACTGTCACCTAATAATGAGGATACATTGTGAGATGCACTGCTAGATGATCTGATTACTGTGCAAACATTACAGAGTGCACCTGAAGAATGTATAGTAACTTGATAGGGCTTTCTGCTCATCTGAGCTATGTGGTATATACTGTTAGGTCTAGGCAACAGGACTATGGAGGTTTCAGCTCTGATGCACATGGACAAAGAACCAAGCACTGGGTAAAATGAAGAACAGGAATGTCTAAAACAAAAGAGTTCCCTTCTTGTGTAGCATAGTCAAGAAACCAGAGATCACAGAAGCTGGTGTTAGTGTTGCTCATCATGACAGAGACTTTGCCTTAATCTCTTGAGCTACAGCAACATTGGATGACCAAAGGATAAACGTTTGTACAGCTGAAGAATGCAGTGATAATGAGAAGAAGGAAATTTTCTCTTTTTTTAAAGAACTCCAAGGAAATTAACTTTGGTTTCACAAAAAAGATTCTTCAATTTGGGAAGAGTTTCCCAAACATTGTTTAACGGTACAGCTTCCTGGTTGTCTATCCAAGCGCTTACCTGTGCTCATAGCTTTGACACATTTCCATCTACTTGGGGTTTGTGCTATTTTTAATTCATTCTTCATAGTCTAGGGCTCTTTCCCATGCTCCAACATAGAGATAACACTCAGGTTAGGAAGACAGATTCCTGCTCATAAAAGAAAAAAAATACAATGTCCTATGGCTTTTCCAGAATATAATTCTACTTCTTTGTTTAGGCAAGGACATGGATATTACAGATGACACTAAAGAAATATTTCACAAATTCAACTACTGACTTCCTTGTTCTGATTGCTTAGCGTATACTGTAATATGCATCTGCTTCTCTCCCAAGATCTACTGAATCAAAGGAGAGATATAAAATAATAATAATAAAAAAACTAGACATTGTAAAAGTTTGCGATAAGCCAGCACTGAGCATTCGAGAAACTGAAGCAGGAGGATCATGAGTTTGAAGGCACCCTGGGCTACATAGTGAGTTCAAGGCCACCTTGAGCTACGCAGTGACACTCTATCTTAAAAAAAAAAAAAAAAACACAAAGAAAGAAAATAAAAAAAGAACCTAAAAACTGAAAGAAAAAAAAATGGTATGCTGTAGGCTATATGCATACTTCCTCTCCAGATTCACAAATGACATATCAAGCAGTTCAGAGCCTCCGTAGAGACACATCAGGGAAATACCGAGAGTCATAGGATAAATCCTGACTTCTGGAAGGAAGTCATCCTCACCCAGTGAGACCAGATTCTTAGAGTTCTCTAGTATCACCTCCTTGTACAGAGCCCTCTGAGTAAGATCCAAGGATTCCCATTCCTCTTGGGAGAATTCTACAGCTACATCCTTGAAGGTCACTAGCACCTGAAAAAAAAATCATACTGCAACAAGAGCAGACAGGAAGAATTATCATCTCCAAATGAAATGCCTACAAGACAGTGGTCCAAAGATTTAATTGTTTTAATTGAGATTCATGTAAAGGTAACTTTAAGCAAATTATTTGTTGCTAATCTTATACTTTTCTACAAGAGGCTATAGTATCCTCTAAATCAGTGACTTCAAATATTTGTAGAAAATACAAGGAACTTATACAGGAAAAATTAACACATGGTTATCTTTACCGTGTTAGATATGTTCCACACACTAAGTAATAGTATCTACAGCTACAGCACATGTGCTGAATTCAGAGATGACAGTGTATAAGGGCTTTAAAGAAAAAGGTCAGAATCTAAAAAAATATGATGGTGACACCAACAGCAATAACTGAAGTGTTTGAATACTTCCTATATACTAGGAATTATTCCAAATGCTTCACATATACTAATTCATATAACAACGTAATAGCCAATAAGGCAAAGAAATGTTGCTATCTTACTAGGAGATAACTGTGTCACAGACACAAACTCATCTCAGCTCAAACAGATAAGAAATAGCAGTAAACACCTGAACTCAGGTGGCTGGGCTTTAAAATGAAACAAATAGAAAGTTATATGACACACACAGCCATCAAAAGTACTTTGATAGCTCCCAGGAGACCTGAAACAAGTTCAAACCTAGTGACATGGAGTCACATATGTAATATGTTAGTATTCTTACTATTATTTAATTTACCCATGTGATAGGGCAAGGAAATTTTTAAGATGGTAGAAAATATGTTAGATGTTATTTCAACAGTTTAAAAAAGCCTAGCTGGGTATGCTGGTATGTGCCTGTAATCTCACCTAATGTTTTATCTGAAGAATGTAGAAAAAGAAAAACTAAACACACTGTTAGCAGGAGAGAACAAAGATTAGAGCAGAGGCAAGGGAAGTAGAAAACTGAAAAATAATAGAAAAATCTAAGTAACAAGAGTTGGGTTTTGGAAAAAATCAATATAACTTATAAACCCTTAACTGGACTACTTAAGAAAAAGGCCCAATTCAAATTTGACAGGAAAGAAGGGACATTATAATTGATGTTCCAGAAATAATAAGACTCCCATAAACAACTGTAAGCCAGTAAATTAGAGAACCTAGAAGAAATGAGTATATTCTTAGAAACATAAAACCTATCTGCACCTATACATAAAGAAAAAAATTACATAAAACTGGTCCATAAGGATTGTTCCAAGACTCTTAGAGTTGCCTGAAGCTGTAGTAATATCAAATTTTATATAGTTTCTTAGGACCACACCCACCAGAGCCTCCTCACATGATCAATGTCACTGGATCACCCTATGTGGAGCTGACAGGGCTTAGGGAGGACAAGTGAGCAAAAGCAAATGTGTGAGGCAGGAGACTCCAGGGTCAGAGGGGACTGGGTGCTGCCATACCCAACACATCAGAAAGGAGAGAAAGATCAACCAACAACAAGGTCTACTTTACTGGAGCGAAAGCCATTACTGACTCCTTTTCCTTCACTTCTGGTCAACTTCCTCAGACAATGTAAGTTTTTAGCAGTCAATCTGGAATCGTTAAAATAAGTTACTTAGTGCTTTATAATTCCCCCACATACCCTCTTCTAGAGCTACAATATAGGAAAGACATGCAGAATGGTGATCCTCCACTGCCCATGCACCAAGAACAACTCTTCAGAGACTGAATTTCCAGCACTCATTTCCTTCTAAAGAAACCCATGAATATACTGCAGCACTAGGAATCTGAGCTGAACTCAGCCTTCAAGTCACAGACTCAGCCCTGAGTAAATACAGAACATAGCTCCCCTCAACCACCTATGGATCACAGATTGATCTCAGCCCTCAGAAATGGAGGACACACAGCCTGGGTACCCAATGGTGAGTGCAGTTTAGAATCAAGTGAGGCAGCAAATGGTATTAAGGGTGGGCTCTAACCCTGCTTTATGAATGACAATCTCTAGTAAGTAAGCAGATAAGATGCATGCACAAAATGCTTCAGATCTTTAATGAGAAGCTAAGTTTAGCACTATGAGGGCATGAAATTTAAAAATACATACATACACATTATCATATTCAAAATGTTCAGGACCAAAAGTTTTCAGATTGTGTACATTTTCCAGATTTCACAATTTGGAAAACTATATAATGAGATATCTTGGGGGTAGGACCCAAGGCTAAACATATTTCAAATAAGTCTTATAAAAACAGCCTGAAGGTAATTTCATCCATTTTTGTTCACATGTGCTTTACCTGTAGCCCATCATATGAGGTGAAGAGCTGGAGACCAAATTACTAATTTATCATGCCTTTGTGATCAAAACTTCATACAAACCTCTATCTATAGAGCTCGAAGTCCTTCCTGGGTAATGAGCACCTTCAACTGCTAGGAGGGTAGTGCATTAAACCTAGGTGAACAGATGCTCCACCTCTAAGAACCATCCCTGTCCTCACCCTATGTATCTCATATCTAGCCATTTATCTGAATCATTTATCAGAGCCTTAATAATACAATAAACTGGTAAATTCCAGCATTCCATTTGTGTGAAATGTCCTTACAAATTAATCAAATCTGAGCAGGGAGTTACAGGCAATAGATCAGAAACACAGACAGCAACCTATTATCTGTGATTGATACCTGCTGGGTGCAGCTGTCTTGCAGGAGGCAGTCCTTAACCCGTGGGACCTGGCTTTAACTCCACGTACACACATGAACTGAATTACAGGAGCCCAAGTGGTGTTCGCTGGAGAAGTGCTCAGTGTCTACGGGGAAAAGCCCATACATTTGGCATCATAAGTTTTCGAAGTTGTACTGAAAATGTAACAGAAGAAAACTTTTTTTCGCTCCCTACCTAGAGCAGGAGCCAGACCATAAAAAGAGGAAGGCCCAGGATAAAACAGAGAGCAGGTTATGGACCAAAGTGGGTTTGAGAAGGTGGCCTACATACTACCAGGAATGCAGTTTGTCAAATCTCAGATCTCTGTGGAGAGGTGATAGTAGTACCAAGACTTAAGAAAGGGAGAGCACTTGCCACTCACAGCTGAGGTGTCAGAGTTCTAGGCAGTGAGACAGCAGAAATGAAAGCCTGAGTCAGGAACAAACTTGGTCCTGAGGAAAAGCAGAGAGGCCCATATAACTGGAGCAGAGTGCTGTGAGAACATTGAAAGAGATGTGAACAGAGCCCGGGGAAGCAACACAGGTAGGATCGAGGTTTCCAACATTATTTTCCAAAACGTGTAAAGAATTTTGGGAACTACATATTCCTTCACCGTTAAAAACAAACATTTATTTATTCATTTATTTTTAACTTACAATGACTGGGAGTGTGGCTCACTGGGAGATCACTTACATGACAACCAGCATGGTAATTTAAACAAAAAAAATTAAAACCCTTACAAATAACAAAATGTATTTTAAGGACACGCTGAAATGGTCACCTTAATCCGAGGGTGTCACTCTTGGCTGCGATGTGGAGGGCTATAGCGGGGATATGTGTAGGCAAACTCAGAAAGCCACTTTTGGAACTGGGTGGGGCACCACACACCCAACCTCCCATCACTTTGAGAGGCTGAGGCAAGAGGATCACAAGTTCCAGCCTAGTCTGAGCAACTTGGCAATACTGTACAATATTTTTTCGTGATCTCACAGAAAATCAAATCAAATCACTTTTGGACACTCGAAAATGGAGATGCTGGTTACACTTCCCAGCACAGAAGTCCAGGAGAAAACTGGACAGAGGCTCCTGGAGTGCAAGGGAGAGGACTGGACGCAGTGGGGAACCAAGCAATGTAGAGCCAAGAGATCTGCCAGGAGACCAGCACATCACCCACCGGGGAGAACTAGGAACTCAAGAAGCCTAACCCTGAACCCTGCCCACAGGACAGGTCCAAGTCACCTCCCCTGGCCCGGCAGGGAGACTTCCAGGGGAGGCCTGGGCGGCGACGCGACACCAGGAGGGGAGGCACGGGAGAGGTCGTGTCCCCCCGAGGTGTGGACTGCGTTGGCCTCGAAGAGGGCAGCGGGCAAGGCGGGAGCGGAGGAAGGGGTCCGCTGTCGGGGAGGGAAGTGCAGGACCGGCCTCCAGCGCCCCGGGTGGAGGATGCGTGGCGGGCACCTAAAGATCCCAAGGGACCCAGACTGAGAAGGTAGAAACAGTAGGAGACCGCGAAGCGCAAACCCAAACCAGTCAGAAAGAAACTATCCGCGCTGCGGCCTTCACTCTGCAGGAACCACGTTTGGTGTGCAGGAAACTGCGCACGCGCAGCCAAAAATACCCACCTGCACCGCGCCTCTGGAAAAGGGAGTGGGCGGGGGATGATTGCGCAACCGATGAGAGGCGGGGCGTGGAGGGAAGAGGTCTGTGCCCATTGCGCAAAACAATGGGGCGGGGCTAAAGGGGCCGCAAAAAATCAGGGGCGGGGCGAGGGGAAGGCCTAAAAAGGCAGAAAATGGGCGGGGTGTGATAGGCAGTAGGCGGGGGAGTGGGTGGAGTCACAGGTAATGGCTGGGAACTGGGCTTCAAAAAGTTGTCTTAAGCTGCTTTAGCAGCTCAAATGCTGTGTCCTATTTTGGGGCTTTTCCTGGTTACTGTTGATTTTCTAGTTATTTGGTGGCACTGGAGATTGAACTTTACCCAGGGGTAGGCAAGCTCCTACTATTGAATTACATTCCCAGTCCTGTTGTTTTTTTAATCATTGAGCCACTCTGTCTTCAGATTTGCAATTTAATCCGTTTACCTAGATATTGATAGGCACTGCTGTAACCATTACCATTTCGGTGACTACTTACTTTATAGAAACATGTACGCCTGTGTGGTATCAGTGAGAAACTTGTCTGTCCTTTTTATTTTTTGAGACAAATTCTCCTTTAAATTGCCCAGTCTGGCTTCGAACTTGTGATCTTCCTGCTGCGGCCTCCGGAGTAACTGGGGCTACAGGTAGTGTATACCACTACACCCAGACTGAAATGTACTTTTAGAAACAATGAAATTTTTGTCAGTTTAATAACCTGAGGATGTCTTTGGGTTTTTATCTGCTACCTCTAGATAGCTACTTAAGTACACAAAGGTGGTCACCAAATTTACCAAGTAGCTTAGCATAAACTGCTACATATTCACTTATCTTTATAACTAGAAGAATAGCAAATTTGAGTTTTTCCCTGAATGAGTATGGAATGAATTACATAAAAAGTTTTAACTGAAAATAGTGGCACGTGTATGTAATTTCAGCATTCTGGGAGCCTGAGGCAGGTTCTAATTCAGCCTGAGGAAATCAGTAAGGCCTTGTATCAGAATCAAATACAAAATAAAAAGCTAGAGAAATAAAGATAAAATAAAATAAAATAAAAATAAAAAGGGCTGGGAGTTCACTTAGTGCAAAGGCATAGGGTTCAATTCTTAGCCAAGGGAAGAAATTATTTTCCCTCTGTTTTCAATCACTTAGCAGATTGTTTCTATTGCTCATCATATTCTGATCTAACATTTTCATTTTATTTTTAAAAAGTGCTTTCCTTCTCTATTTCCATGGTGGAGAGAATTTCTGGACTCAGAGAAGATAGTTTTTGTTTTCAGTTGTATTTTTCCTAAATTTTATTTTATGTTTATACTTTTGGGAATCTTACCCAGGAGTGCTCTATCACTAAGCTATTATATCCCCACCTTGTTGGTTCTTTCTTTCTTTCTCTTTTTCTTTCTATTTCAATCAGGGTCTGGCTGTATAGTTCATGCTGGCCTTAAAATCATGATCCTCCTGCCTCAGACTACAGAGAGCTTGCATTACAGATTTGTGACGCCATATCAAGATTATTTCCCTAATTTTCTTAAAGTGAAATAAAGAGTATTTCTTGGAGAACTGAGTTGAGTTTGTGAGTACTACACTGGATACACTGAATCCTGGTGTTGTTTGTCCTTGATGATCAATGGGGAACAATGCTTGTTAATCTGATAACTCAATCTTCAGTTAAGCCTCAGTTCTCCCACACGGTGGAACTGTGGATCACCCTTGTGCATTGTAATGCAAGACAACATCTCATTGGTAACAATGTCCTGAGAGAGTGTTGACAGTAGACATGTTCCCTAAACTGTAGGGGCTTTTAACTTGTCCTCTGCTCAGACCCATGGTACTTTCTAGCATTTTCCCTCTCCAAATAGAAGAACAGATAACTCTGAGTAACTCTTGAACATTTGCAGAACTTGTGTTTGGAGGATTTATCCTATTACCATTAATTTTTGAATAAAATCTCCCCTATCTTGAATTTGTTCTTTTTCAGTGGTATTTTTCTCCCTTTCTTTTTCTTACAATTTTTTCAGTAGTAAATATTTTCATTATCTGTATTCACATATGTACTATATATATTGTCTGTTTCATCATAGGTTATAATAGATCCTCAACAGTCAATATGTAGAAATAGTTACTGGTGTTAAACATAAAATTTTGAATCTTTAGTAATTTTCAGCTTTAATGATGATATCACCTGGAAGAAATTATCAAAATCTCTGTGTAACAGAAAAATATCTTTTTTTCATTTCTTGTGACTATAGATGTGTCTCTCCATTGAAAAGTTTAGAAGCAAGAAAAGTCCCCATACACAGACTAGATCCGTGGCTCTTAACTAGAATTACCTTTTATCTACTGTATTGAAAGAGTACAATTGATTCCTCCTCAACTTGGGATCACAGAAGTACATGCTGATAAGACGGCTCACAGCTCAGGGGCAAAGCATTTGCTGCCAGGCCTAATATCCTGAGTTTGATCCCCAGCACCACTGAAAAGGAAAGAAGGAAGAAAAATGAAAGGGAAAGGAGGAGGAAAGATGGCAGGACAAAAGGGAGCAAGGAGGAAAAGAAAGTTATGCTGAGATAGATTCTTGTATTCATCTACATGACCTGCTGGATGTTCTGCTTATTTTATTTTATTTTTGGTACTGCGGATCAAATTCACAACTTCACACTTCCAGGCAGGTGTTTATGCCGCTGAGCTAAATCCCAAGTCCTTCTGCTTATTTTAAACTAAAAATATTTTATACGTGCCAATTTCCTATCTAAACATTATCATGTTTCAACTGGTTACCATTCCCAATGAATGAAACTTCTTCACAAATAAAGGTGTGAGAAAAACAGATTTCACAATAGATGTTCCCTCATTTATTGCCATAAAGTTTATGGCAGTAGAAATGGCTATTTAAAATGATAACATGGTTTTACTGTTTTCCGAGTTCACATAAAAGAGAACAATGTGCTTGCCATATATCTTTAGAAATATCTCAAGATATTCTTTACAGAAAAATACATCCAAATGGGGCATTTTGACTTATAACTGTAATCCCAGCACTCTGACAGGGTGCCAAGTTTGCGCTCAGCCTGGCAATTTAGTGATTTAGTGAGACCTTGCCTCAAAAAAAAAAAAAAAAAAAAATCTAGTTTTAAATTTAAATATAACTTCTCTCCTATTTTCTTAAAGCAACTGTCGGTGATCTATCTTTATCAGAACCCCTAGTGCCCTCATGCCAACACTCCAGCCGTCCTCCCTCAAAGAGAAAGTGAATAGAAACGCGAAGAATGCTTGTTCTGTGTTCTTGGACATCAGCGTGAATGTGCACCTTCAGCAGAGACTGCTCCGCATTTCGCGGTCTAGTTTGCATCTCCTTCAAAAGCAATAGCGAGATATTTATTGAGGGGCTGAAATTCACTTTAATAGTAGGAACCTTCATAGGTATAATTATCATCCTACATTGATGGCCCCAGTCCCACGCTATCTTGGTTTCCAGATCAAGTTGTTGTCACAGCATCCCCTGGGGACGCCCAAGGACCAGGCAATGGAGACGCGGCTTCCGCCCCCAGCCCCGCCCATCTCGGGTCTTGCTGCCGCGTAGCCCCGCTCCCAATCGTCCGCCGGGCCAATCCTTTCACACTTTCCTCCCTGCCCGCCCCTGTCCCCGCCCCTGTCCCCGCCCCTATCCCGCCCACTCACATCCTGGCAGGGCCCCGCCCCCTCGCCTTCCCTGCTGTGCGCGGTTTCCTTCAGATCCGGAAGTGCATCGGTGAAGTGAAGGTCGCAGCGGCCGGTGTGAGTTTCCCTCTCTTTAGGTTGTCTGCGCTCCGCTGTCCCCAGCGCCTCCTTGTCAGGTTGTGAGTGTCTGGGGAACGTCAAGGCCCTGCCCCGCCCCCTGCGCCCCAGTAAATTCGGACGGCGCTGTGAAGGTCGCTTGGCCCTGCGGGGCGGAGGCGCTTGAGGCCGGTCCTGCCAGTCCAACCCGGGCCGCTGACGCCTCCACCCTCGACCGCCTCGCCTGCTGCCCTCTCCGCGGCCGGCGGCGTCCTCACCACGGGGGAACCCGGGCTCGTCCGCGCCTCCCGGGCCGGGTTGCCTCCCAGGCCTCCCCCTCTAACCTCCCCGCCAGGCCAGGGGAGGTGACCTGGACCTGGCCTGTGAGTTCAGGATTCTTGTGTCCCAGGGTTAGCTATGCTCCTCCAGAGGCGGCTTCTCATCCATGCCCTCCCAGTGAGGGGTGGGAGAGATAGACCTGTAAACATGGCAAAGTAGTGGATGGGTGAGGAATTGGCAGAAGTGATGAGAATGAAAGAAGCAGCTAAGATGGTAGCGGAGGAGAAAAACAAATAGAGACATTTAAAGATCTGTGTCTCCAGAGAAATGAAAAATAGTGAAATAGGAAGAGAGCCCTTGGCAAACAGCAGCGTGGTGTTGGGACAAGAGGAGAAGGTGGTGGGTGACAAGGGGAGCAAAGGAAGGACGCCTAGGACTGTGAGGTTCAGAGAGCAGGACCCAGGGGCTGCACCAGGCAGGGGGAGGAAGAGCATCCATGGGGGAAGAACGAGGCAGAAATAGGTGAAAATTGGGGATAATCAAACGACTAAGTTGACAGGGACCCAGAGGTGAACCCAGTACAAGAATGAGGCAGAATAGGTATAGGGGCAGGAACTTAGGGAGGAAATCAATGGAGAGTGAGAAACAGTGGCCATAAATGGTGGTGGAGGGAAGAGAAAAGAGCTGGAGAGAGGTTACAGTGAGACTGTACAGAGTGACAGAGAAAAACAGGAAGGGAGAAAAGCCGGGAGGAGTGGACCCTGTGTCTAGCCCAGGATGGTCAATTAGGTATGCATCCTTAAATTGTGCTGTATTGATTTCTGTGTTGATAATTCAATGGATTTAAAATTTATTTAAATCATATGAACAAGGGTAAGACTTGTGATTCTGCCTATAAGCTCTGTGTATTGTGCAATTTTGGGTCCTAGAGGATACCCTTTCCCTTTTTGGTCACTACTCAATGTGAAGGTGGAGTTCTGACTCATTTTACCTGTGGGTTACCCTGTTTTCCTGGAATGGATTGTGGTTTGGGAAGTGTGTGAGATAAAGGAAACCAAGAGTGGTTTTCCTAGTCACGCTTGATAGTGACCACAGCACAGTCTTCACTTCTAGTCAAGAAATTGTGTTAGGAAAGAAAAAGAAATTGTGTTAGGATTTGTGATGATTGAGGAGGCACTTGTCCCTGAGACCCCAACGTGGTGTTCTGTAAATTAATTTAGATCTGGCACTCACTCCCTGGAAATGGCGTCTGAGCCCACAGGGTGAGGCCTTAGACCCACATTGCCCTCACTTCAGATTTGCAGGTAAACTGCCATCCACTGGCTATAAATAAGGGATCCTCCTGACTCAGCTGCTCAGGTTAGTTTGTCAGATTGTCTCCCAGCGTTCAGGAAAACATCACTGACATTTGCCTGTTGTTAAAAGGATGCAGATGAATAGGTACATAGACCCTTTGCAATCCTCAGTGTCACAGTTTGGATGACTTTGTACTGCCTTGAGTTTAGCTCAGTATCTCTGCCTATATTTATTTAAATCAGTTAGTTAGTTAATTATTGAATTCCATTGTTTTTGTTACGTGGTGTAGGCATTGAACCCCCAGCCTCATGCATACTAGACAAGTGCTCTATCACTGACCTACATGTCCATCCCTCTGCCTGTACTATTTATAATACAGAAGATAAAATATTGTTTCATTTATAAAATAAAGAAAAATTACGTATTTCCTTGTATCAGGCAAGGAATCGTGTTTTAAAATTCCTTTGAGGGACAGAAAAATTTTGACAGTTTTGGCCCATTTTAATCTGCTTCTGAAAGTCCTCCTGTGGTCATCTCCTGCAGTATCCTTCTGCCCACTCTGGTCCCGCCACACAGGCCTCCTGCCTTTTCCTGCTACTGCTATAGTGCCTGCCTCAGGGCTTTCCCTTGGTTCTGTCTCTGCCTGAACTTATTGGCCCCTCACCTGCAGGTGATAAACACTTTCCCAGGTCTGTGGTCTGATATCAGTGATTCCATGGAGAATTCTGTGGCTTTCACTAACATCCTAACCCTAACCCTATCCCTTCCTTGGTCTGTGTTGCCTGCTCTGCAATTTCTGATCTCCCCAGTCCACAGTGTGGATTCTGGAGACCACAGGGTTGCAAAGGGAGAGCTGAGTCAGAAGGTGGGAGGGGGGCTGGGCTTGTTCAACTCTGGCTTCCCATTGGCAGGCTGAGGTGTTTTGTAGCTAATTCTCCCTTTCCCATCATCAGCCTGAGACCCAGTCTTCATATTATTAAAGTTGATTGTATTTGGTGCACAGCCTTGGGCACCTAGACTGTCCTGTGTTTATCAAGGCCAAGATCAGCTTGTGATCCATGGTGGAGTGAAGGGAGTGTGCTGTGTTTGGCTCTAGATAGGCCTTGGTGTGTTCCCTCATAAAGCCCCAGGGAGAGAGAGAGCTCTGAAGAAGTGTCAGGAAGTCTTCTGTTGGTCTTCCTTTAGGAGTCTGTTCCTGCCTCTTTGGTCCCCAGCCCCAACCTGTCCCTCTTGGCCCCTCCCTGTGCGGTGGGCAGCAGAAAACGGTCTTTCCTCATGGCTGGTACTCCTTGTGTGTGGGCTATGATATAGGAAGAACGTGTGTCTGTTCTGAGTATTCACCAATGTGTTTTCAACATTCAGGTTTCACTCCCCAAAACTCATGTTATCTGCCGAAGGAGCTGGGAAGAGGAGGAGGCAGGAAGAAAAGGAGTCGGACATGGCTCTTACTTGGGTAAAGTGATGTTGTTATTTGCGTGTTCCACATTGCCTTCCTTCCTGAAGTGATTTGCATGGGCACTGCATCTTCGGATTCTGTCACCTGGCATACTCTCTGAGTCTCCCCTGGGCTGCCCTGGGCCCTCCTCACATTCCCTAGGACTCACGGTAACCAGTGACACGTATCATGTGAGGAGGCTGTATTAATCATGGTCCTGGGTAGGGCTTCCTGCCAGGTAGGGACTAGAGACAGATGTGGACCCCATATGTCAGTTTTGTGGGCAGCAGGATTGTTTAGGGCACATCTGGATGTAGAAGCTGTTCATGGAAGTCACTTACTAATATAAACAAATTCTTCTAAGCTCTGAAAAAGGAGACGTATGGGAGAAATGTGTTCTGCCTGACACTATATACTACATTTACACGTAATCAAGTTAGTCAGTGTTTCTGACTGAAATCTCAGTGATTGGAAACGGAATGGAAAGTTAGACACAACAATGAGGGATGTTTAACTCTGCCAGTTTTAAATATGTGACTGCCTCTGTGTCTAACAGCCAGGCACTCTTTAAACTGTTTTCACCACTTTCATCTGTGGGAGACAGTGATGTCCTTGCAGGGCTCTTAAGCAACAAGTATTTAGGGGGAAAATGATCATATTTTCACTTCGACATCATAGCAGAACTTTTTTGGCATCAGAGGGGATGGAACTATAGTCTCAACTCAGCAGTTAGTATTAAATACTCAACAAGAAACATAGCAACACGTGATATGTACGTTTCTCTTACAGTGAAGCCATAGACCATCACCAGTCTTGGGCACCAAGGTGTAAAGCTTGTCCTTTCCTCATCTTCTCCCTCTGTCACATGTGAGCAGGAGGCCACTGCTGTCAATTTTGTGGTCTGTGGCAGAAGTCTGATCGTGTGTGGGATAAGTGTGTTTGCGTATCACTGTAAGGCTTTAGAGAAGATTCTTCAGTAAATGAGGAGGAACAGAGACCACTTAGGACGCTTTTGCATTCTTCTTGAAGTATTCTGGGAATGAAGACCTGTATTTCTTACCTTTCCTTTACTACAAAGAGAAGTGAACTGCCTATGAACTCAGCAGTTCACAGGCATCTCTGCCCTCTGCAGAGAGTTCCTTTTGGAAAGGGCAGTTTCTCTTAGGGCGATTTCGTGTTTTATTAGTTCTATGAAGGTCATTCTTTTCCTCCCCTTGCAAAGATGCTCTCTCCTATGGATAATCATTCCTTATCAAGTAAAACTTGTCACTAAGGTCCTTTATGTTTTACAGCCTGGAGAAAAACCAGACTGTTTGTATGCCAGTTCCTTGTGATTCCAAGTAGGTTTCATGGTTTGTGGATATGTATATAAAAAGAGAATTTGTAGTTTAGGACCTATTTATAATCTGTAGTATATACTTACTTACATATACCTTCTTGTTCCCTCCCTCTTTTTTTTTTTTTTTTTTTGTCTCCACTGGGGATTGGACCCAAGGCCTTCATACTAAGTGGCTCCCTCTTGTCCCTTTTTTTTTTATTTTTCTGAATTTTGAGACAGGGTCTCACCAAGTTGCTCAAGCTAGGATCACAATTGGAATTCTCCTGCCTCAGTTTCCCAGAGTGCTGGGATTATTATAAGTGTGTGCCAGTATTATCTGTTCTGAAGTTTTATTTTTTTATGTTCTACTTTACTTTTTTTTTTCTGCAGTACTAGATATTGAACCCGGGCCATTGCACTAACCTGTATGCTCAGTGGTGGAGACAGGGTGTGAGTTCCTCACACCCTAACTTGTAACCGTTTTATCTCAGTCTTCAAGTAGCTGAGATTGTAAATATGGTCTACTGTGCCTGGCTGTTAGCTTGCTTCTTCATGTAGAATTTCTCTTAGTACAAGATTATGAAGTACTATATTTCTCTTAGATTTTGTGTTTTACTGTTTATTTTTTCATGTTTAAATTTAATTTAAAAATCTTTTTACGACCAAGATTCTTGCTAAGTCATTGAATTATTCAGGCTGAACCTAAACTTTGAGAGGTCTCAGCCTCCCAAAGCCCTGAGATTGCAGGTAGGTACCACCATACCTGGCTGCATCTAATGTTTCATTGTTTAATCATTTGTTTATATCTCTTTCATTTGCATGTTTGTGCACATGCTTTTCTTCATTTTATTTATTTATTGGATGTTATTTTACTTTATTTCAAGGCTGGCTAGAGATCAAAGTCAGGGCCTTATGCGTGGTAGGCAAACAGTGACTGAGCTACATCACCAGTGACATCACTACATCACTGAGCCCCTGGGTTTAAAGTAAAAGCAAAAGATAATATATATCATACAAGATTTATATGTAGTTTATGAGAACACTCTATTTTTTCTTTTCAAATTTCTGTTAGTTTTCTTTTCACCTTTTTCACTCAATAAAATTCTTCGGTTCCTTTTTCCAATCAGATATAGTTCCATTGGTCTGGTTTTGCCTTTCTCACTTGTATTTTTGTGTCATATACAAGACATCTTACCATCTCCAATATCCTTCCCTTTTTGTGTGTAATTTGTGTGTTTTTGCCACGACTAGCACATTTGTCTAGCACATTTTCTGAACCGATGAACACGATGAGGGAATCCACCTTTTAGCTTCCTCTATGTCAGTGTTGTGCATTGCAGGGACTGACTTTGTTCAGTTGGTCTAGCTTTGTCTTCTAAAATCGAGTCCTGCCTGTCAGGGTTTGTGTCCTCTGAATAGACTGTAAATTCTGGTTCGCTAGTTACTGCTTTGAAGAATTTTTCAATATTCTTCAGGGCTACTGTTCTGTCCAGTGCTGGCAAAGCTGTGGCACATGCTACAGCAGGCTGTTTGTTATTGAAAGCTCTTAGAGGTTTGCTATCACTGGCCTTTTTTCCTGTGTTGGTATCAGAATAGTGATGGTCTCACAGAATGATATGTTCTTAAGTGTGGGGCCTCGAACCTGCTGGTCAAGTACTCTGCACTGTTATATTCCCCAGACCTTTTTAAAGTTTTCGAGATAAATGACTTGGGCTGGTTTTGAACTTAACTTGTACTTCTCCTGCCTCAGCCTTCTGAGTATTGGGATTACAGGAGTGTGACCCAATGCCTAGTTTAGAATGCTTTTAATGTTTCCTTTTCTTCAGGTTATTAGAAGAATTTGAGGAGAATTGATGTTAGCCCTAATTTAAGTGTAGGGCAGAATGGAGTGACGAAGCCCTCTGTCCTTGTGTCTTTGCGGGGAGGTTATTGGTTATTGCTTCATTTCCCTTACTACTTATATATATATATGTTCAGATGTTTAAAAATCTCCCTGATTTCATCAAGGGAATTTGTATATTGCTAATGATTTATCCTTTTCTTCCAGGTTATCTCATTCAGTGATTAGCCTGTTACATGATTATAGCTACTTATTTTTCTCTTTTCTTCCATGATATGAGTTGAAATATACCTGCTTATATATATTTGGGTCTTTTTTCAAAGATTTTCTGTCTAAGCATTTGCCATTTTTGTTGATATTTGTAAAAAGTTTCTTTAGATTCTGTGCTTTCATTTATTTCTGCTGCAGTGTTCATTATTTCCTTTTTTTGTGTCTATTGTTTTTGGTTTGTGCTTTTTTGCTGAAATGCAAAGTTAGGTTGTGTTTGAGTTAATTTTTATTTTTGAACAGAAGCTTTTATTGCCAGACCTTTTCCCTTTACTGCTTTGATTGCATCCATGAGCTTTGATGCACTGTGCTTTTCTGTCTTTGTCTCTGGATGTTTTTTAACTTTTGCTTGCCTTATTCACTCTGATTATGATACATTTATTCCATTTGGAATAGAGAAAAAAAATTGAATGATACCAAAGTTTTTGATACCTCTTATCTGTTGTGTAGATGTTCCCTGTGTGTGTTAGAGGTAGGAGTTTCTGCTGTTGTTGGGTAGAATATTCTCTACAGGTCTGTGAGGTACATATGCTATGTACTGTTGTTGAAGCCCTCTGTATATTTCTTGGTCCGCTGGTTATTTTTTCCATAAGTGATATGAAGCATAGAGTGTCCCCCAGTTATTGTGCTAAATCTCTCAGCATTTGCTTCATATGTTGGAGAGGACTGATGTTGGTTTTATGCTTGTAATTATCATATGTCCTGGGGAGCTGCCCCTTTAGTAATTATGGAAAGTCGTCTTTTATCCTTTGATCACTTGTAACAGTTTTTAAAAGCTGTGTTTTAAAAATATAAGAGTAGCTACCTCTGCGCTCTGTAGGTTTCGGGTTGCATGGAGTATCTTTGAGTCTTTCCCTTTTTAGCCTGTGTGTGCCTTCAGAAATAAACTAAAACTGTTGTTTAGAATATAGTTATATTTTACGTGTTTCTTCTTTCAGCCAGTCTTTTTCTTTTAATTAGGGTGTTTATATCTAATTAGTCATACAAAAGGACTTACTGTTGTTTTTTTTTTAACTGTTGTATGTCTTTTGCTTTGATTGCATCTGTCATATTTTTGCTGTCTTCTTTGTGTTTCCTTGGTTTTGTGAAATGGCTACTTTTCATTGTCTTGTCATTTTTCCTTGTGTATGTTGTATAGCCACCTTTGTGGTTATTTCATTATATAGAGCACGTTGTCACTTTCACATAATTTTAAATGAAAAAGTTTGAATTAATCACATATAAAAAGTCTACACCATTACATTTCTGTCTCACATACCCCCTTACGTTATTCATAACACAAATGATCTCTTTCTGTATTGTACATCCTTTATTAAAGATGTAGAATCCTTTTTATGCTTTTAGGAAGATTCTCTGCTGGAGTTCAAAGTGATCTGTAAATTTTATTATGTTTTTCTTTCTCCATTTATCACCCTTTCATTTCAATTTGAAGGTCTCTTTCAGCAGTTCTTAAAGGGCAGGTCTGGTGATAAACGCCTTCCAGTCATTCCTGGAAGGCTCTCTGTCTCCTCAGTCTTTGTGGACACTTTAGCTGGATGCAGTGTTTTTAGTTGGTGGTGTTTTTCTTGTAGCATTTTGAACATACATAGTTCCTTTGTAGCATGCAAAGGTTCTACTGAGAAATTTGATGTTCAAAGGAGCTTGTCGCTGTATCATGTTTCTTGTCTGATTCTCAAGGTTTCTGTCCTCTGTCCCATGTGTTGGACATGGAACTTAGAGTATTACATGTTAGGCAAGGATTGTACCAATTGGCTTTATCTGCAGCCTATGTGTCTAACTTTCGGTGGTTTGATTATCATGTGTTTTGCAGTATATGTCACATTTATCTCATTTGGATTTCTTTAAGCTTCTTGAATTTATGTGTGTGTCTCACACTTGGAACGTTTTGGGCCTTCCTTATGATCAGATCATTTCTGTATCCCTTTCTCTCTTCTTTTGTTTGATTTTTAGTTTTTAATGAAATCTGATTTTGTTCCTAATTATTATAGCCACAGCTAACTTTGTGCTGATGTTGTACCTTCCCCACTTTAATCCTTCTAATGAGCTGACAAAGGACTACTGCCGATCACTGCCAGTCACTCTGTACAACAGTAGTTTCAGTCTTGGGTTTTTAGATACTATCCTGAATAATAACTCAGTCTAACTTAAAGAATTCAAAAGTAAAGTCTAACTTGCTATTGAGTCATGCTTTTAAAAGGATCTGAACTCACAGATCAACTATAAAATGTGAGAAATGGTAAATATTCTTGATTTGGTATTACACATCCACTACACTAAAAAGCCTTTCAGTCAGTAAAAGGTAGCACTTTTTAGATTCAGGAAATTCTGATTAAATTGGCATAGTTAAGACCAAAAATATAGACATTACTTCCTTGTCTGTAGCCACTGTTTAACAGGCCAGTAAATACAAATTGAAACAGGGGAGTCTTGCTTGATTCTGAGACAGTGCAGGATTCCCCACTACTTAAACATACTCATGCAGCCAGTTATATAAATCTAAATACAGAACCACTGTTTGATAGGTTTTGAGATGATATTCTCCATTTTTGTGAAAAGCCAATCACTACTAATCAAGGCCAACCATATATTTAGAAATGTGACAGTATTTATTGAACTAGAATTACTATCAAAACTTGAAAAAAAAGATAACCATTTAACTGCAGGCCAATTTTACTGAAATCAAGAATGTCTAACAAAAATATTCTATCAGCTGTTAATGATCTGAATTCTGGCAAAAGAGGTATGTTAAATTATGGTGTGCATAAAAAAGCCATGAGACATTTCTGTTCCATAATAAATAAGGCAGTGACTTACTCATTAGTAGCTTTTCTGAGGTAAGCTATTAAATGTGCCCTTTCTTCCTTCTTCTTAAATGCCAGGGAGGAGCATTTTTGTTCGAGGGATGTGCTTCTTGGGATTCTCCAAGGCCGCCATCAGTGTGCCCTCTCCCCAGGTAATGCCTTTTCCTTGTTGGTGTCTGTGTAAGAATCCAACAGCCTGACTTGTCTCCCACTCAGACAGACCCTGGAGATATGGCCCAGTTTTTCGGTTGCTTCCTTTCTCCAGTGTGGCATTGAGGACATATCTGTACAAAAATCTTCTACCTTTCCAGCATCATTCATTTTTAAGTCAGTCTTTCATCATTACCACAAGAAAGATTCCTTTTTAGAAGCCAGATGTCCTGTGCTCTAGCCCAAGGACACACTGGTGCATGGCTAAGTGCTGGCATTGGTTTATGCACACTTATCCTTTCTTTCTTCTTCATTTGAGGTACATGTGATGTTATCCCATAAGTCTCTAAGCCATCTTTACTCTTCCTGCATTTTTTGAGATAGGGTCGCACTCAATTGTTAAGGCTGGCCTTGAACCACTAAATAGCTTAGGCTGGCCTCAAACTTGTGGCAATCTTCCTGCCTCAGCTTCCTCAGTGCTGGGCTGATAGGTGTGCACACCTGACCTCCTCCTTTTTCAAATCCATTTTTCTTTCCTTTTGCCTGGTCAGGTCTGCTTTTCAGCTTCTCTTGAGTTTAATTTTAGTTATTTTATTTTTTGGTTCTAAAATTTCTTTGTAGTTTTTTTCCTCATAGTTTCTGTGTTCATTGTTTTTCTGATTTCCTAAAGTTGAATTTGTTTGCTGTCTTAAATCATTCAGTAATGAATGATTGAATCTCTCATTTTCAGTTCTTTGGTGGTTTATACATCTGTATTTCCAGGCTGGCCTTGAACACACAATCCTCAGCTTCCTGACTGCTGGAATTATAGATGTGTGCCATCATCCCTTGCCTATGTCTGATTCTTTAGTGTTGGTTTGTGACTGTTTAGTTTTCTGATTTGAATGATCACATCACATTTGTTTTTTTTCTCTTTGTGCAGCTTGTTTTCTTTCTTTCTTTCATTTAGCTTTTTTTTTTTTTTTTTTTTTTTTGCAGCAGTTTGAAACCAGGGCTAGAATGTGGCTCAGCGGTAAATGACATGCCTAGCACATACAAGGCCTTGGGCTCTGTCCCCAGTGTCACCAAAGAAAAGCAAGCAGGCAAGCAGGTTTGGTGCTGCATGCCCGTGAACCGACAGAAAATCAGCTGCCTCGCTCAGTTCTGGATGTTCGGCTTCCTTTAGGGAGGCTTTCCATTCCTTCCTGCTAGAGATTCTGGAGAGTTCTCAGGCCTCTGCCGGGATTTGACTTTTCTGACATTTTGCTTGTAATTTCTAACTGAAGACCCCTGCCAGTTTCTACTCAGCTCTCCCACTGTCTTTCTGCAGCTGCAGGAATTTAGGATGTGGATTTGAGCCTAGATGGTGCCCTTGTTGCTGCAGACACTGGTTTCTATCAGTTGCCTTTGTGTCTGTGCCCTGCCCTGCCTGATGCCCTTGCCTATTCAAGCAGTTCAGTGTTCCTTCTCTGCAGAGTCATGATGTTAGATGAGGTTCTCATACTGTGCTTTCCTGCCTTGAGAGATTGGGAGTGGGCTGTCCTCTCTCAGAGTAGGGATTCTGGCAAGAAGGTGCCACAAGTTGACCCTTCAGGCTTGCATTAAGAATTGCACTCTCAGAGCTGGACATGGTGGCTCACACCTGTAATCCCAGCACTCAGGAGGCTGAGGTGGTAGGATTGTTGTGAGTTTGAGACTAACCTAGCCTGGGCTACAAAGTGAGCTCAAGGCCAGCCTGCACTGCATAGCAAGACCCTGTCTCAAAAAAAAAAAAAAAAAAAAAAAAAAAAAAAAAAAAGAAAAGAAAGAAAGGAAGAAAGAAAAACAATTGCAGTCTCATTTACAAATGGGGAAGGATTGTCTCTGTTACTTTTCTTGTTAAGTTTAAGGAGAAAAGGTTTATTTCAGCTCACAGTTTGTAGAGGTTTCAGTCCATAATGGCTGGCTCCAAGGCAGGATGTCATGGTAGAGGGGCATTGCAGAGGGGGACCAGTGCATGGTGTGGCAGGGCAGGGCAGATGGAAGGCAGCAAGCAGCAAGCCTACCTCTGCCTTTCACTCCTTCCAGGCTACTGGTCTTTGGGGTGGTGCCACTCACACCCAGGGTGGGCCTTCCCATTATCCACACCCAGAGCTGTGTTAAACAAACCGTGGAGTAATTTAGTAACCATATACTCACTATCACAGCCATATTCCTGGCATCACACACTCTAGATATACACCTCTAAAAAGCCCCACCTATGACTGCATGAGATTTTATAGATACAGTACAAGAGGGTGGGAGGAGAGTGGAGGGGAAGGGGACACACAGAAATTTAAATGTATCATGTACCTGTACCAGCTGCTCACAATGAAGGTAACTGCTCTGCTTTTGCAAGTATGAAAAATTGGTGATGAAAATTATATCATTGAGAGACACCATCTCTTGTTTCACCTAAGTGTGTGTATGTGATTATGTCACATATACAGTAATTTTTGTTCCTGAGACAGTATCTTGCTTTGTAGTTCAAGCTGGCCTTGAATTCATTATGTGGCCCAAGCTGGCCTCAAACACATGGCTATCCTCCTGCCTCAGCCTCTTGAGTGCTGCAATTATATGCATATGCCACCATGACTGGCTCATCTGTGCATTTTTTAATGTGATACTGGGACTGAACCTAGGGCCTCTACTCCAACTTTTATTCCCAGTCCTTTTTTTATTTTTATTTTTTATTTTGAAACAAGGACTAAGTCATTCAGTTCCCCAGGCTGAACTTGAATTTGCAGTCCCCCATGGTAGGCTTTGTTTGTTGTCTTCATTTGTTATGTGTTCAGGTCTTCCTATGCACTCCAAGCTGGACTCACACTGACAGATACCAGGATTATGATATGTGCCATGGTGCCTCACCAGCATGTGATATTTTGTTTTGTTTTTTTTGGTACCAGAAATTGAATTTAGGACCTTGTGTTTGCCAGGCTGTGCTGCTGAGCTGTATCCCTGGCCCATGTTTTTTTTTTTTTTTTTTAAATAAAGAACAGTTTGTATGTTTTTTTTAGTTAAAATTGTATCTGCAATTAAATTTTCTGTTAAAATGTTCTGCAGCCTTAAATTGCTGTGCACTGTCATGTTAATATGTTAATACTATATTAAAAATACCGCATATCCCATGTGTGCATGTGTGGCTGTATAATGACCTTGTGAGAAGCTCTGTATTGTTTTTGAACTTCCTACGCTTTCCTCCCTTAAGTCATCTGTGGTTTATTTTCTTCGGATGTGCTGTTGCCTCACTGATTCTTAAGGTTCAGTTTCGGTCTCAGACACCTGGGGGCAGGTACTTCCTCTCCCAATTTGAGTTCCTTTACCTGAGCAGAAACCACTTGGTGTCTGTAACAGCTCGTTCTCAGGTGTGGACCTGTACCTGTCTTTCTCTCTTAGATGTCATGTCACTGCAGCAGCTAGTATAGAGCAGGCGAAATGCTCAGTACTTGGAAGTGTTCCCAAGCTTTAGCTATTCTGTTGCTATCATCATGGTTTTAAGATTCTGATTTTTTAAAAAGTCCCCTATGGGCCCTCATCTTTAAAGTCACCACACATGCTATTGAATGTGGTATTACTTAGTAGGTTAAACATTATATCTAACAGTGCTATAGAGATAAATTTATCTGTATGATTATTTGTATATATTTTTTCCTCTTCCTCTCTCTCTCTCTCTCTCTCTCTCTCTCCCTCTCTCTCCCTCTCTCTCTCTCTCCCTCTCTCCCTCTCTCCCTCTCTCTCTCTGTTTCTACTGGGGATCCAATGCAGGGCCTTTGCACTGAGCTATATCCGCAACACTTTTTATACTTTATTTTGAAATAGGATCTTTGAAATAGTTGTTAAATAACTGCATTACCCAAACTGGATTCAAACTTGCAATCCTTCCTTACTCTCCCAGAATCCTGGAATTATAAGTGTGTGCCCACTCCACCTGGCTCTGTCGTAGTCTTTCTGGTGACTAGTCCCCTTTCTGAAACTGCACAGGGTTCTCTTGACAACTGACATCTTGTTAGCATATAAAAGCACCTAGAGATTTCAAGTGAACTATGCATCTGGAAACATTCACAGAGATCAGATGTGTATTTCATAATATTTAAACATGGATTTAGCTCACTCTCTCCAATTAAAACTCTTTACAGCTCTGTTCTTTACTTTATGTCATAATCGTAACTATCCACGTGGCCCCCAGTGACATCCATTTTTCATTGCAGGGATGCTTAACATTCAGGGATGTGGCCATAGAATTCTCCCCAGAGGAATGGAAATGCCTGGATGCTGCTCAGAGGACTCTATATAGGGAGGTGATGCTGGAGAACTACAGGAACCTGGTCTCCCTAGGTAAGGATGGCTCCTCTCGAAATTTGGTCTGCCTTCTGTATAGTTTCCCTGTTCGTACCTCTAGCTGAACCTGAAGTTTTATTGATGTAGAATTGAAACGCTTTCCAATGTATCCTCTGCACTTCAGCCATCTCCTTTCTTTAGATTTTCTGCCTCCTTTTGAAGCATCATTGGGTGGCTATAGAACTAAGTACGCATCCAGTCTTATGGCTGTTATTATTTTCCTTTCTCAACAGTGCTGGGGCTCAAACTTGGGCTTGCATATGCTAGGCCAGTGCATTAACACTGAGTCACATCCTCAGCTCTTACAGCAGACTTAAAATATCCAGTTCTTTTTTCTTCTTTCCCTGTTCATTTGATTGAGTAGTTCTTGGGAAATAACTGGATGTCTGCATGTTAAAGCATTTCCCAAGCCTAAAGGAATAAACCAGTGTGTGATTTTGTGCAGTGTTTGTAGATCCATCTAGAATATTTTCTGTCTTCATATGAACATAGCACTGGATTCTTAAAAAGCCACAGAATGCTGTTTTCCTTTCTTTTTATAACAGGAATCTTTCTTCCTAACGTGAGTGTTATTTCTATATTGGAGCAAGGGAAAGAGCCCTGGACTGTGGAGAATGAAATGAAAATAGCAAGAAACTCAAGTAGGTGGGAATGTTGTAAAGGACTGAATACAGGTAAGACAATGTAGACAGAGGAGCTGCTTAATGCCATTGGTCAGGGCAGTTGTTTGGGGTTTGATCTGTAAAGCTCAGGCAGCAGAAGCAAAAATAGGAAAATGTATTGCATAAAAAGAAAATATTGCTGTGCCTCAGATCACAGCATTGAGAAAATATTTATAACCTGTGCATCTGAGGGAGCATTAATATATAAAAATGTATAAAGCATGGAAAGTCTTAGCATTAACACAAAAAGAATTTAATAGACATTTCTTGATAGAAATGAGTAACAGATATACAAAAAGATGATCAATATCACTAACAATGGAAATAGAAGTTTAAGTCTAAATAAGTTACCATTTTCTACTTATCAGAATAGCTTTTATCAGAAAGATAAAAGGTAATGTGGACAGGATGTGGAGAAAAAACTATTGTCCACTGTTGATGGAAATGTAAAGTAATGAATTCATAATGGAGAACACAGCCTGTGTGCCAGAGAGCTCACCTGGCACACAGGCTGTGGCTTGATCTCCAGCATGCAAAAAAAAAAAAATAAATCTTAAAGCTAAAAATAGAATTACTGTGTAATCCAGCAGTCTAGCTTCTAGGCACATATACAAAAAATTCAAGATCAGGGGATCAAGGAAATAATCCACAGTGCATGTTTTCTGCAGCATTATTCACCGTAGTCAAGGTATGTAACTGACTTGCATGTCCATCAGCCAATACTGGATAGAGAACATGTATACAGACAGCTGGGAGGGCAGCTCTGTTGGCAGCAGTGTGTGTTTACCTGATAAACATTTTATTAAGTGAAAGAAGTCAGGCAGAGAAGTACAATACTGTGTTCTCACTTAAACAGTCTAAACCAATTGGACTCCTAGAAGCAGAAAGAATGGTAGCTGCTAGATAAGTGTAACACTAAGTTGTTGGTAAAATATGTTTTTTAAATAAAGAAGAGTAACTTAACAAATTTTTGAGGTGGTAGATATGTAATAAGTTTTTAGTCATCATTTCCATGTTGTAAACATTTATCATGACATTAATTTGTTCCCTATAAGTATATATGTATATATTTATAATGTCAGGGATTCAGTGAAACATTTAGAAAACTATTCCATTTCTAGTGTACTGTTTCTTAGAAAGCCTTGCTTTTTGTTTTTGAGACAGTGCCTCACTATGTATTTCAGGCTGGCCTTGAATTCACACCAATTCTCTTGCCTCAGCCACCTGAGTGCTGGCATTATAGGCTTGCACCACTATGCCTGGCAAATCTTGCTTTTTCTTAAGAGAACATTACTCATAATTATAGTTTATAACTTCATATAAATATACATACTCTATTTGCCTGGTTATTTTATCATGGCTTACTAGAATATTTTGTGGTTTTTATGATGATTTATAGATGATGATTTTTCAGCATGAAAAATGCAAAAATTATCTCATACTAACTTGTTACAAAACTCTTGCTGTGTGTAGGTATGGGTAGTTTTATAACAGAAATTCCAAAACACGCTTTTTTTCTGATATCGTTTTATTGAATTCTTCCTCTTTACCCATTGTTTTTATTGCTTTGGAATTAAAGATTACCATTCATCAACTTGTTACATAAATTTGCTATGGATAATTTACCGTTAGAGTATATCATGTGGTATTTTAGGATTTATTTATGCTTAATAAATATGTATTTTTTCTCTTCATTTATGAGATGGCCATGTTTTTTGCAGTTAGTGTGTGCTTCAGGGCCATGGTAGAAAAATAACTTTCAGGGCTAACATTTTGATGATAGTTTGAAAGTATATTTTCTTCCTATTAATTGGAATTGTATGTAATTAATTATCTTTCATTAATTAAGAGTATAGTTTTGGGCTGTCTTTTTCACTGTGAATTTGTCTAATTAATTAGAAATATATGTTACTTTGTATCTTGTAGATATCTCTCCTAAATGTGTAATAAAGGGTTCATCACCAAAAGGGAAGAGCAGTACAGGAGAAATATTTAAAAGAGTGACACTAGAAAGACATGAAAGGAATAACATTAAAGGCTTTTCATTCAAGGATGTCCATAAGAATAGACATGGCTTTGAGTTGCACTGGAAAGATACTGAAAGAAATTACAACAGCATGCTTGTGGTTCAGAAGGAAAGTCTCATTGGTAGAAGAGGTCAAGGTGGTAAAAGGGACACAGAAAATAAACTTATGAAAAGTTGGCTTGACTTAAGCTTTCAGGCACATCTGCCTGAACTGCAAGCACTTCAGTCTAAAGGAAAAACTGACAGTCATGAAGGTGACGGGTCCATCAACAATGCTTCCTCAGTTTCACCACCACAAAGAATTGCTTCTGTCAAAGCACATATTTCTCAGGAATATGGAAATGACTTTATTTATTCTTCATTACTCACAAGACAGAAAGCTCATGTTAGAGAGAAATCTTACCAATGTAACGAGTGTGGCAAGGTCTTTGGTTACACCTCATCTCTAGCACATCATCGGAGAATTCATACGGGAGAGAAACTATACAAATGTATTGAATGTGGCAAGGCATTTTTCAGGCGTTCATACCTTTTGGTACATGAGAGACGTCATACTGGAGCTAAGCCTTACAAATGTAATGAATGCGGCAAAGTCTTCACTCAGAATTCCTACCTTACAAGTCACCGGAGAATTCATACTGGGGAGAAACCTTACAAGTGTAATGACTGTGGCAAAGCCTTCAGCGTGCGTTCAAACCTCACTAAGCATCAGGTTATCCACACAGGAGAAAAACCTTACAAGTGCAATGAATGTGGCAAGGTCTTCAGTCACGCTTCAGGCCTTGCATTTCATCGGAGAACCATCCATACTGGAGAGAAACCTTACAAATGTGATGAGTGTGGCAAGGTCTTCATCCAGAACTCACACCTTGCCAGTCATCGAGGGGTTCATACTGGAGAGAAACCATACAAGTGTAATGAGTGTGGCAAAGTTTTCAGTCAGACATCAAATCTTGCAAGGCACTGGAGAGTTCATACAGGAGAGAAACCTTACAAATGTAATGAATGTGGCAAAGCCTTCAGCGTGCGTTTTACCTTAACTTCCCATCAGGTTATCCACACTGGAGAAAAACCTTACAAGTGTAATGAATGTGGTAAGGTCTTCAGACAGATGTCAAGCCTTGCAATTCACCAGAGAATTCACACTGGAGAGAAACCTTACAAGTGCAATCAGTGTGGAAAAGCCTTTAATTCACATTCTAACCTAAACACCCATCAGGTGATCCATACTGGAGAAAAACCCTACAAATGTTCTGAGTGTGGCAAGGTCTTCACTCAAAATTCACACCTTGCAAATCATCGGAGAATCCATACTGGAGAGAAACCTTACAAGTGTAATGAGTGTGGTAAAGCCTTTAGTGTGTACTCAAGCCTGACCACTCATCAGGTCATCCATTCTGGAGAGAAACCTTACAAATGTGACGAGTGTGGCAAGGTTTTCACGCAGAACTCACACCTTGCAAGTCACCGTAGGACTCATACAGGAGAGAAACCATTCATGTGTGATAAGTGTGGCAAAGCCTTTAGTGTGCGGTCAAGCCTTATTACCCATCAGGCAATTCATACTGGAGGAAAACCTTATACATGTAAAGACTGTGGCAAGGTCTTTAGTCGAAGTTCCAACCTTGCAAGCCATCAGAGAATTCATGCTGGACAGAAACCTTGTAAGTGAATGTAGTTGGTCACAACTTCTTGTATAACATCAGATATTTCATTTTTAGGAGAATCTTTATAAATGCAATGAGTGTTAAAAGCCATTTGTCAATAGTTAAAACATTAATGGACATAAGAGTTCATACTGAAAAGAAATCTTACAAATTACACAGCACAAGCATTAATTCAAGTCCTACACTAGATGCCAAAATATATGTCTTTGATGAAACCATACAAATGGACGGTACTTGTGTAGTTAGGCTATTAAGAGATGATCATAACTCTAGATGAGGATTTATTCCAAAACCAGTTCAGTCTGTAGCTCTCTGTTGTATTCTGCAGAATATTTCCAATTAAAAATATGTGAAAACCCATGACCTTAAATACATGAAAGGTACAAGGATTTTGGAAATACTCATTAGCTTCCAGTTATAAATTATTTTACCCAGTTATTTGAGGTTTCTTTGCTATTTTTGACTCTGAACTTGAATTTTAAAACATGTTCATACTCTGTCTTCCTACCAGCCTTTTATTGTGGCCTCTGAGAAAGAACTAGTAAGACAGAGAGGCTTTGGTAGGTAAGGGTCATTTCTGTGTAATGTCTGAGAAGGAGTTTGCCTTGAAGTTTAAATATTGTCTAAATTCGCAACTGGAAAAGACAATAAGGTAAAACTGACAAATCATCACATTTATTTGTGTACATTGCATCTGCAAAAGAGCACCATGGTTGATAGGAATAAACATGCTACCAAATGGTTGTGCAGTATAGCAAGCCAGGAAATTAGGCCCTGGGGAGTTTAATGGGCTAGGAATGATAAACTGGTAGGGACTGAGTATGGAAGAAATAATATAGAAAAATGACCACCTTCTATGTTGAGTGACAGTAAATGTTATAGAGCAAATCATGAATGAATGATGTCATTTTTCAAGTTGAAGAAAGATCAATTATACTGTAGAGTGTAATTGAAAGACTGGGAGGGGTGTAGCTCAGTGATAGAACATTTGTCTAGCATGCACAAGACCCAGAGTTCAATCCTCAGTACCACAAAGATGAGTAATTTTAAAAATAGCATTTTCTTGAGGATCATTGCATTTAACCGCTGGTGTTAACAGCTTGCAATTGCTTTATTCAGAGTATATTATTGGTCTGATGTTTTAATAAAATTAATCTTTTAGTATGACTGTTCCTTTTTTTGTCCACATGGTTTTATTTCTTCTCAGTGCAATACTTTACAGACAGTAACAGTAACAGTATATAGTTTAAAACAAGTTCATTAAAGGTAGATTATCACAGGTAGAGGGGTTTACAAGTTCTGAAAACACGAGAGTGGAGTGCTTGTAGCTGCCTTTCTATTGTCTTAGCACAAGCCTGCCTATCTGTTGGGTGCCAGCTGAGGTAGAGGAAGGGTAAGTGAACTTTTCCTAAGAGGGTTCTGACAAAGCCCACCACCTGCAAAGCTGCTGGTGGCAAAGAGAATGAAAGAGCCACTGTGCAAGAGCACCTTCTGCTGGTTAGGTGGAGAAAAGTGTGTTTACTGGCCGTGGGCATTAACTCTTTATAGGTTCACTGATTTGTACACTCTCAGCATCTGGGGAAAGAAATTTAAGGACTTCAAAACAGATCTGTTTTCCTATTGCACACCTATTAGTGTTTTCCAGGAAGTTTCTGGGATCGCAATTAAAACCTTTTATCTTTTTTCCCTTCGTACTGGTCAATCAGGGCTTGGTGCAAGATTCTTTCCTCCTAGCCTGGTTGGCCACTTTGAAGATGTCAGGCTGTGTGCTGTCCATGCCAGACATACAACAGTTATGCCACAAGATCGCTACACACTGCACTAGACTGATTTTGCAGCTAAATGAAGACTTTGGAGTCCATCCCGCTTGCTTTGATTAGGCACTCAGCGTATCCTACTGTGTCCATGAACTCAGGACAAGACTGTTTTCTTCTTTTTACTAGTAAATGTTTTCAATACATACAGATTACAACGGTTGCAGGGAGTTGCTGCATATACCTAATACATCTTTTTTTTTTTTTCCTTTTTTTTTGACATGATGTCCTATCCTTATCTCTCTTCCCTGCTCCTTTCAACTTTTGGTTCCTTTCCGATTTGGGAAAGCTCTATTTTCATCATTTTTCCCCTTTCAATCCCCTCTCTTTTCCCTCCCCCAAATTATATAAAACCAAGCCAGAAACAAAGCCCAGCCTTGGTTTCTAAGAAACTTTGAAAACACAATAGTTTGGTTTGTTTTCAGATGTGTGCCACCATGCCAAGTTGGCCAGGGCTGTTTTTAAACACCAGTCATTGATTTTGCAGAATTCAGTAAATGAGGACTTGGTTGCCTCTGAACTTCCTCAAGTACCCCAAGCTGCAGAGAGTGAATCTTCAGTGTGTTGAGATAGCTGTTAGTGTTTTAAACATGCAGAAGACTGTCTATTGATAGCCCTCCATTTTGGTCCAAAAATGATTCTGATTTTGTAGAAACTTTCAATTTAAAATAAAAATGGAATAAACAAATAAATGGAATGCTGACATAGTTCATCAGTAGAGCTGGGCTCTGGGTTCACCCCCCAGTACTCAGAGAGGGAGAGGAGGCTAAGGAGGGGTGGGAGAGAAAGATTGGGTCATCTAATCACAATCAGCAGATCTTGGATGTTTTCTTCAAAGACGTAATGTCTTCATCAAGCACTTCTTATGCTCTCGCTCTTGGGAGAAATTTCTCACAATTCCATTTGGATAGACTTTCTGTCATGGATTTTCGTATTCTTACAATTTAGCCTGTTGTGTATTTCAAGATTGGAAATCTCCTAGGCACATTTCAATTAATCCTGAAAGCTTAGTTTATTTTGTTATATGGTAGCCTGAGTAGCACGTTGATTTCAGAACCATGGTCCTTAAGAACTATAATGAGATTTCCTTATTACTTGGAATATTATGATTATTTTCTGTGTTGGCATTTGAACTTGGCCTCATGTGTGCTAGGCAAGCAGTCTACACTTACCCCAACCCTACTGCTTAAATTGTATACCAGTTATCAAAGTTACTGTGGTCTACACTAAATTACCTCAGGAACCACTAGAGGTTGGTATTGTGTCTAGGAGCCCATCGCTTTCTACTAAATCACCACATGCCTCACTGTTTTTCCAGTTTTCTTCTTCAGTCTCTCTTTAGTCCTGAACGACCCCCGTTTCTGCTATGAAAACTTATCCATGACTCCTGATAGGTGTCCTTCCTTATTGGCTGTGCCTCTGAGAGTCACATTTATCCTTTTGCAGGGACAATGAACAGAGAATGAAGCAGCTAATGCTGTGTAGGAATTAAGCAGCCAGACCCGAGTCATGGTACTATGAAGTGGTGACCTCCCTTCTCATGTTGGGAACCATGAATTATAAACCTAGTGTAGAGAATGTCCCAGGCTGTTTTTTTTCCTGCCCCATAAGCTGGACTGCAATGTGAAAACTCCCCACTTAGTCTTAGCTGAAGCTCTATGGCTAGTGGCACTCATGGCACTCATAGGGCAAGATAGGAGCTGCTGAGAATGACAAGGATCTTCAATGCAGTAGCAATAATAAAAGTTTCCTCTGGTAAAAAATAGTTTCTTTACTGACCTTTGCCTCATCCTTGCAGGAATGCTTTTTTAAATTTTTTACAATCATCACCACCTTCTTACAGGAAAAATACACTACCCCTATGAAATTGTGCCTACATGCTCAATAAACAGAGGGACAGCCTTGTTTTGCTTACCTTAAAGCACTGACCTCCCAGCCCCCTTTACATATTACCAAATTGTCTATCTTTTATTTGAAAATATCCAGCAAAGTGGCAGTTGGAGATCTTGGCCAAGTCACTGGCAACTGGGACCCCAATGTCCCAACAGGGACATTCTCCTGATTAGGCCTATAAGAGGCACCCAAATGGAAAGAAGAGGGCACGAGATGGTGAGAGGATGCTGCAGAACAAAGAGTCCTGAGTGAAAGAAAAGCAAGAACGTGGTTCCATGGAAAGATTTTAGTTAGCTGTGATGATGGAGCAGAATTTGTTAGTAAAAGGACAAAGATATGCACAGTTATTATGTACGTTGCTAAAGCAGGCCACAGCTCAAATCAGTACCTGCAAACTGACAAGAATGTTACAAGAAATTGCTCAATATAATTGGGGCAAACGGAGACAATTGAGATCCTGGCAGAGGATAAACTTTTTCCTGGGGCCTTTTCATCTAGGGGCCTGGTAAAATCTCTTTCAGGTCTGTTACTGAAATTGTGCCTACATGCTCAGAGGGCCAGCACTTACAAAGTACTAGCACTACCAAAGTTCCTGTTTTAGAGCAGGACAAGGGAGAAAAATGAAAAGGAGAAACCACCTTCTGCATGGCCAGCTCCTGGTGCAGACCCAGAGTTGGATGAGGCTTAATGGGGAAACTCTTCATTGGCCTGCACCTCCAGAATTTTTAGAGGGTGACACAGTGGGCCAACGAGGGCACTGCAGCACTGCAGTCTTTTTTTTTTTTTTTAAGGAGAAAAGAAAAAAAAAACAGTGAAAGGGTACAAGTTATACAGATTTACAGAAGAAAAAAACGAACAGTAGGAAATCACTAGTTAATGGATTACATATTTTCATCTTAGAAATAGTTGTTCAAGTCACAAAATTAAAGCTTGTAGAGTGGACATTCCAACAATGATACTGCAAACATTTCTGTTCAATGATCCAATAAAACTCTGTGATATCATTTTCTATCTTATACACTTAAATATACATGCAGTTATATAGTTTAGAGCACTTTCTTTTCCTCTCTTTTGTACAATGACTATTACACATTTTGGGTTTCATTGCTCCCACGGTTCTTACTGCTTTTTTGGAAGAGAGTAAAGCCAAATGTGACATAACAGAACAGAATCGGTCAAGTCAAAAGGGTGGACATAATAGATAATATAAAAACATAATACAAGGTGATCAATAATGTTTACCATAATGCCTCCCGCTATCTCTAATAGAATTCCCTATATCATTAGTTATAATACAATTGAACAAATCAGTAAAGAACAAAACCAAAACATTGGAGACATTGTAGGTCTTCAAAAGTAGATGAAAGTCAACGGGAATGGGCGTTATAATGAATCTCATTATCTTCACAGCTGATGCCTAAACTTTCGAACCTGATACTATCCAGCAAAACAGAATAGGGGAACATCATTCAAAAACAAGATGGTGAGAGTAATACAGGGCTTCAAATCGAGATAATAGAAAGTCAAAGTGGGTTACTATATTATATCCTGCTATTTTTTCCCTTTAATTAAACGGATAAAAATAAAAAAGTAAATAATGGAGTGGAGATTGAGAAAAAAGAGGGCATAACAGCGAAACAGCGCAGATCAAAACATAACTATTTAAGCAGAATAGTGTTTCACCACCAGATAATTCCGACCCAAAAGTAGTTACCATATTGACTCTTTCCTTGAAGTCCTTGAGTACAACGTCGTATACTGTAGCATTAAGTATATCAAAACAATGTGAAACCATTTAAGAGAATGACAGCATTACAGAGTATTTAGAATCGACTAACAGAAAATGAACAATGGTTTCTATATAATCTCCTTGTCTTTAAAAGGTTTTTGCTTATACTATTGTACATAATAAAATCCAATAAGATACAACCTATTTAGACCATTGGAGACAGAAGAACAAAAGCTATATGAGACTTCAAAGCAAGATGATACTAAATCAGTATTACCTATTAAGATGTCATTTTCTCCAAAATAGGTGTTCCTATCATCCAATCTTCTCTGTCTCATTTCTGTTGAGCTCTTTTTCTGTGAGTAGCTGTCAGTTTGTCTTCTTAATTTTGTTCTCTGCTCCATTCGTTGTGGCCTCCCTGCCAGTATTTCTGGGTTCTTTGTATTTTTCTTTTTTTAAAATATCCTGCAATACTTTCTGTAGGGTTGAATTGGTGGTTGCAAATTCCCCCAGTTCCTCTTTATCCTGGGAGCACCTTGTTTTTCCATCAATTTCCAGGGACAGTTGTGCAGGATATCTCAATCTTGGCTGGAGATTATTATTTTTCAAAGCTTGAATTATTTCCCCCCACGCTCTTCGTGATTTGATGGTTTGTGTCAAGAAGTCTGCTGTAATTCTGATGGGTGTTCCCTTGTAAGTGGTCTGTTTCTTGTCTCTTACAGCTTTTAATATTCTGTTCTTGTATTGAATTTCTGGAATTTTTATTATTATATGCCTGGGTGTTTCTCTGTTAGGGTTGTAGGTAGCTGGGGTCCTGTATGCCTCATACATCTGAGTATCTTCACCTTTTGCTGAATTAGGAAAATTCTCCTGGATTATTTCTGTGAGTAGCTTTTGTAGTTCACTTGTTTGTGTCCCTACTTCTTCTTTTATGTTCTTAATCCTTAAGTTATGGCTCCTCTTATCATCTTCTTGTCTTTGTATTATTGCTGTTTGTTTCTTTGTTATTTTTAAGAATTTTTTCATTTCATTCTCCCATATTACAAGTCTGCCCTCCAGTTCAGATAGTCTGTCCTTAGTTTCTTTCAAGCTGTTATGCCAGTCTTGGATAGACTTCTTAATTTCTTGATAGTTCCTTTGAACCTGCTTCACGTACTCTATGCTTTCTCTGTTTTCTCCATCAAACAATTCTCCCCTCTTTTTCTGTTCTTCCATTCCACCATCTGTTTTTTTCTGGGTGGTGCTTAGCATTTCTCTAACTATTCTGCATACTTCTAGCTTCAGGTCGTTAATAAATTCATTCCTGAATTGGTCTATGAGGCTCTCTATATGGCGCTTAATGTCTATTGGTGCGGTGTCCGCTATTGCCTGTTTCTCAGAATTGGGCCAAGGAGCCTTTCTTGTTGCTGCCTTTCCCCATATTCTCTGTTCCTTATATGTATGCCAGCTTACATAGGAGGCCCAGCTTCCCTGCCTGTCAGCCACAGCCTGATCAAATTGCGCTGGCTAGGTGTTCCTGCCCACCTCTGCACACCAGGGAGTTATGGACTAGGCAGCCTATGTGAGAGTCGCCCTTCTGGGCCACCGTCAGGCTCTGGGATCTGGGTTGGGCCAGCCTACTGAGTCCACCAGCAGCATCAAGCAGGCCAGGCACTTTTCGCCAATCTCGTCAATCCCGTCTGAGAGGGGAATGTGTGGCTGGAGTCGCCACCGCGCCCTGCTCTCGCAGGACTGCCTGAGCCCAGAAAGTCCTCCGTTGGAGTCAAACTGTGGTAGAGTGTCAGTTTCTCTCACTCACCTCGCCACAAGTCAGTGTACACCTCCTTGTCTGTCCTGTTTTCTACTCTGTTCACAGACTCCTGTTCACAGAGCTTCTGCGCGTCTCTCTCCTTGCCGAGCAGATGTAGAGGCAGCCAGCCGCTGAGCGGCTGGAAACCCAAATCGCGGCTTCCAATGGCGCGGGGTCCAGCCTCCACATCGAGTCTTTTCTGTTCCTATTTTAGCACCAGGACTGCATTCCAAGTTGGTTTCTCTCAGCCCAGTTCATTCCTGAGTCAGCAGAGCATATCTCTACCGGCTTATGTCTCCTTAGTCCGCATCATTCCTGACTTCTGAGCCGAGCCTTTCAGAGAGCCTCCAGTAGTTGCTGTTATCTGTCCGCCATGTTATCCCGGAAATCTGCAGTCTTCTTCAGGTGACAGAGGCAGTGGCATGGGACCTGTGCCAGGAGGAACGAAGTGCCACTGGCAGGCCAGTGGTGGAGCCATGTAACAGAGAAGTAACTTCTCCTTCTCTGCTTTCATTGGTATGGAGAGGGAATGAGCATGGTGGCACCAAAATATGTTCATTGCTATGATAGCTGTCAGAGCCTGAACTGTACCATTACATGAATTAAAACAAGGATCAAAAGGATTAACTGATCATAATTATATATCAGGCAATTTGGGGCACCTCCAGGAAGGTAATAATTGGATTGTATTGCATTCTATACACAATGCAGGGTAGGTGAAACGGGTATAATTTATGCAAGCCTTAGCCTGCATCTTTAATAATGATGAAGGGCCAGGTACCTCCAATTAACATGTAATAAACTTTTTTGATTTATGATAAATGTCAAGATTCAGGCCCAAGTAATGGGTGAGATTAGGCACCTATTATTAGTACTCTCATACTGGCCAGCACTCACAGAGTGCACTTCTCTTTTCACTGGTATTGACATGGACCATGCTGGCTTGGGGAACAGAGATGTCTTCTGAGAAACATTTCCCCAATTGCTATGTGAGGAAAAAAGCTCTCTGGCCAGCGTGTCTTAAGAGACCACCAGGAAACTGGGAAGCTCTTTCTATGACGTGAACCTACAGACTGGCCTCCCACAGAGAGATCCAGGAATCAGACCTCTGACACACAGGAGACTTGATGAGAAGCTCATGTTTCCAAGTGCTTTAATGTTTTACAGCAAAGTGAGTTCCTTTCTAATCTTTATACCACGGACGTACGGCACCACTACCTTACACCTATTGAAACAGATGAAATGAAAATGCCAGGAAAGGATTTTCAAGGACATGCACATAGGCACACATTGGATAGATGAGAATTCCAGTCCTCGCCCACTTGTCCTTTCCAAAGCTGAGTGTCCTTGTGCTATCTGCGCTAAATGTGTAATAGCTATGTCGAAAGGCTAATAATTTCATAATACATGTCATAAACATGAACTAAGTTTAGTATCAACAAGAACGAAACTGGGAAAAAGGATTTAGAGGAAGGAGGGGGGTGGGAAGGGGATTAAGAAGGAAAAAAGCTGTATAATGAGTTATCACTCCCTAGAATGTGAACTTCATGTGCTGCAAACATGCACTAAAAACCAAAACAAAACAAAAAGATCCAGCTAGCACACAGATGTGTCTGTGATCCTGCAAGTAAATGAAGAGTTTGATGAGTCCCTCCTCAGGCATAACACACTACCTAGTCTATTACTGAACTGTGACAAAGCAGGACTATTTTCTTTCTGCCCTTCCTTTCCTTCCTTCCCTCCCTCCCTTCCTTCCTTCCTTCCTTCCTTCCTTCCTCCCTCCCTCCCTCCCTCCCTCCCTTCCTTCCTTCCTTCCTTTCCTTCCTTCCTTCCTTCCTTCCTTCCTTCCTTCCTTCCTTCCTTCCTTCCTTCCTCCCTGCCTCTCTCCCTCCCTTCCTTCCTTCTCTCTCTCCCTTTCATCATCACTCCCTTTCGTCTTCTCTCCTTCGCTTGTTTTCATTACTGAGGATAGGACCCAGAAGTGCTCCACCATTACCACTAACACTTGATTTTTATTTAAGGGTAGGACCTGGGTTAGTTGCCCAGCCTGGGCTCAAATTTAGGATTCTTATGCCTCAGTCTCCTGAATAAATGGAAATAAGTTTGCCCCACAGACCTCTGCCAAATTTTGAGTTTTACTTGTTTTGGGAAAAATTTGTATTTTACTGTTTTTGGGCAATGTGCCACTCCACATTCTCTCTTGATGGTGGGCACAGGCCTGGTGTTCCTTCAGGAGAAGAACCCTTAATCTAGAATGCTTTGTTGCTAAATTGTATTACTTGGTGAGATGTTTTATATTTTAACTTACAGTAGGTTGTCTGTCTATTGCTAGAAGTATATAGCACATGTTAAACTTTTTAATTCTGGAAATGGTGAACAATAAATTGTACAGTTCTGTAGTGAAATGAATGTGAGAGAAACAGAAACCCCAGAAAAAATGACTCACCAATCCCAGCAGAAGATCCAGAAATAATCCAGTCATAGAGGCAGTGTGCTATTTGCTGTATGTGGACAGAGATTCTGAACATCCTCAACCCTATATAGAGACTTCACCTTTGGAGATCCGCAGTAGAGTGGAATTCAAACTTTGCCCAATTATGGAGTCAGCTGTGCACATCCAGAAGGACAGCAGGTTAGTATCCATCATTTGGGACCTTGGTTTATTTCACTGGAAAAGGGGAAGAAATCTGCATTGGGTGGGCTCAGTGCTGAGATCAGGAATATGTGTTTAATAGAATTTCCATCACAGAGTTTGATCTAGGTGGGTGAGCATTTTTGGAGCCCCGGTGCTTTTGATGGGAGGAATTGAAAAAGTGTCATCATTTTTGCTCACTAACATTTGATTTCAATATTAGGAAGCAGTTGGTAGGAGGTGGTAACAGGTAGGGCTGTGAGTATAACTTGTGGATGAGTCCACAGAGTATTTTCACTGTGAGCTCCTGGTACAGTGTTAGAGGCAAAATACAGTCTATACTTTTGTACTTGGAAAATAGTCTTTCATTTATTTTGGTAATCTGAATTCTTAAGAAGAAAGTGTCCTTTTTTCTGTTTTAGGGTTAAATATAGTATTTCCTGAAAATTTATTTCCTTTTTTGTTTGTAGCATTGTTTTTGTATTTTCCTAATACGATCCATTATGAAAATTTTATTACATTTTTATGGTAACCTATAGTAACATATGATATTGCTAGTTTTCAAGAAACTATTTTTGTCATGTTCTATTTATTTATTTTTATTATAGTCATTCTTTTTATGTATCTGGTACTGGGATTGAACCCAGGGCCTTTATGCTGAGTTGGGCTTCAGCTATTTTTTTTATTTTGACACAAATTATCACTAAGTTGCTAAAATATACTGAGATTATGCACATGTCACTCCACCTGACTTATAGTTTTATTTTATTAACAAATGTCATCTTTTTTGCCTTTTAGGCAAGATTGTGGTTTTTTGTGTCTAATGTCTTAAAATGTGCACCTCTGTATACTTTATATTTTGCAGCAATATGGTTGCTTAGAGTCAGAATCTCCTCATAGGATTTGCTTCACTTTTAAGTTTGGGTATAAAATGGTTTATCATTTATTTTATCAACAAATATTGATTTGTATTACAATATTTTTATTTCAAGATATTTTTCAGAAATATTATGAAGTGTGTTTAAAACATGGTTAAATTTATAAAGAAGTTACAGAAACAGCTATACCTAATTTTGTGAAGTTGTGAAAAAGAACAGACTACATTTTTGGTAGACTCATAGATGATACTTGACCTACAGTGTGGTTACATTCTGATAAGCCTACTGTAAATCGAAACTACTGTACATCAAAAATTCATCAAATACACTTAACTTATTGAGCATCACGCCTTAACTTAGTCTACTTTAAACTGAACAGAATACTTATATTAGCATAGAGGTGGGCAAAGTCTGTTTTCCAAAAAAGTGTCAAAACTCTTATGTAATTTACTGAATATTTATATTCATGATACCAGAACACAATGCACTGTAGTGCTTGTGTGGTTTACCCTCATTGTCTGTCATGGCCCACACAGAGCTGGGCTTTGCTGCTGCATAGCACCATGGGAGATTATCATACTATCTGTCATTAGCCTAGGTACAGAGAAAAATTTAAATTCAAATGGTAACTTTGAGTCAGTCTATACGTTTTCTTTGAATCCAAGCAAATGATCAGCTTTTTCTTCCGCTTTTCCTTCTCCTTTTCCTTCTTCCTCATCTTCCTTTTTCCTTCCTCCTCCCTCTTCTCATTCTTTCCCTTCTCCTTTCTCCTACCCTTCCTCCTCCCTCCCCTTCTTTCTCTCTCTCCCTCCTCCTCGTCCTTCTTCTGTCCTTTTGAGACAGGGTCTTGATGTCTAGTTCAGGCTAGTCTTATGCTCACTATGTTGCTCAGTGTGGCCTCAAACATAAGATGAATTTCTTGCCTCAGCCTATTGAGTGCTGGGATTACAGGTATGTAATCTTCTTCTCTTCCCCCTCCTTTTTCTTTGGTTAAACTTTTCCAATGTTTTAATGGCATATCAGCAGAGTCTCTCAACAATATTCTTTGTATATCAACCACTTTAGGTATAATAAAAAGCTTGATTTTGACTGATGGCTTTACTTTTCATTCATATTGGTACTATGACAGGTATAAAGACAGCTACATGGACTTTTCATCAAAAGGTATTAGGTCAGATGATGGATACACAGGAACAATGGGGTCAACTGCATACTACATATGGGAGATTGCAGCCACGTGGCGAGTCTATGGAGTCATAATCTTTCTTCTACCAGGAAACAGAACCCCTTGGATGTGACCAATGCAGGTGAAGCCCAACACTCTCTCACTGCAATATGCAGTATGGGATTCTACAATGAGATGTAAAGTGTGGGAGATGAAGGAGTAAGGAGGTAGAGTCAACCTGGAGTTAATGTTGTGCAGGTCCTTCTTCCATTGCTAGGAGAATACTTCACAAAACATTAAAATACTGGCAGTGACTAGTTAAAATGGGCCTGGTATCCATCAGGATGGACAGAGCCAAATGCATTGGAGACAACTCAGTCTAACTTCCTGGGAAAACAGCATTCTCATCACTCTTCACCTCTCTCCATTTGCACCATTTGGAGGTCATCAGCTTATGTTTTGTGGGCTGTGAGCAGAGGAACTGTTGGTTACTATGGTATTAAGTGGTTCAAGAGTTTGGGAAATGATTTATCTTCTCTTAAGGCCTCATCCAAGTGACAGCATTCACACTTTATCTCCATTCTCCTTTCTTTTTTAGATAGATAAAATGCCAGAGAAATGAACAGTTTTTACCTCTGTGAAAATTTTGCTGTGATTTCCTCTGGTGCTGGGAGACACGCCAGCAGCCCACTGTGTCAAAAAAAAAAAAAAAAAACCACACAAAGTCATCCTCTGAAGGAGAGGCCTCACACTACCTCCTGAACACTTGGAGACCAAACGGGAGGTGTGATAAACATCAGGGAGCAATATGGGTATGGCCTTGATGCTTTCTGTAGCTTGAAGGTGGGTTGTGGGCTGCAGACATGTCTGGATGTGCCTGCAGGGTTCTGTTTTCTCTGTCTCTTATTGTAAGTGGCCTGAAGCTGGTTTCACATTGTTCTCCACATGTGCTCTAGGTGGCTTGCCTTAGTGCGGCCTTACAGATGCCTGTGTGGAACCTGTGGTGTGGTTACAGGGTGCTCACATGAAATGCTATGAGTACCCACTAGTTTAAATAGTACAGGTTTGCAGTGTTTGTCAGAGCAAGTGGCTGGTTTTCTGAATGAGAAATTGTTTTTATATGTAGTGGGTATTAGGGAAACATGTGAAGTGCGTTTTGGGTTTTGATTTTGTTAGAAGCTTTATGTTTGGAGGAGACAGGTCAGTTATAATTGTAGTTCTTTGATTAATCTCTTTTCTGATAACTAACCCTCAGACCATATAGGGGCTAGTAGTGAAACTGGGATTGAGTCATCTCTAGCTATCAAGTGAAGGAGAATGAGCCTTCCTGATGACACTGAAGGAGCTAATGAGCTCAGTGTGGCACATTCTGGGGGTCAACTTTTGGAGTCCAGTTTGTCTAAATGGCATGCCTAAAGCATTTCATGTGAGTAGCTTTTAGATAGTTGTGAAGCTGTAACAGGATTGTTGCTTTTCAGCTGCTTTGTGCTTGTGCTAAAATTATTCTGCTGTTCAGTTTACGTGGAAATCTGTTATTAAACCAGTTCTGCCTGTGGTGCAAGTATTGGTGAGCCAGCTCTTAGATCAAAAAACAGATAGGAAAGTACCAGAGGGGTTTAAAATCTACATCATCATAGGACATGTGATCAAGTCATTAAATAGGACAGAAAAAGGGATGTAAGTGTTGAGTGTGAAGATATACTTTGGTAAGAAGGGATTTTGTATGCTAAGATTTTGCCCCACCAGACTGAAAAAAGATGGGAAGAAAAATTGTAACATTAAGTACACAATAGGTTGTGAATGATGAGCCTTTCAAAGGGAAATACGTTCAGCTGTTTTGTCTCTGTTCCTGTTGGTTTTGTGAAGCTTAGCACTTACTTCTTACAGACAATGTGGCCAAACAACTATCTCAATCTCCACTTCCCCTCTAATATAGGACTGGAGAAGACCAACAACTGGAACAGCATTCAAGTAATGATCCTCAGTGGAAATAATAATCATTGTGAATAATCAGTGATACTTTCTTTTTTTTTTTTTTTATTTAAGAGGAAAAAGAGAAAAACACAAAACAAACCAAAGCGGCGTAAGGGTACACGCAATACAGAACTACAAAACAAAACAAAACAAAACAAAACAAAACAAAAAACCATAACAGTAAGAAATTACCTGCTAGTAGATTACACACTATTTTCTTGAAAATAGTTCCTCAAATCACAGTATCAAAGAACACAAGGTGGACATTCAAACAGGGAGACTGCAAACAGCTGTGTTCAATGTTCCAAAAACATTGATAAAGTCAGCTATTTAACACCCCCAAACACACTTGCTGTTATATCCGTTAGAGCTCCTTTTCTTTTTTTTTTTTTCCCTCTCTTTTTTACAACAAAATTTACACATCTTGGATTTTATTACTCCTTAGTGCTTATTACTTTCTTTGGGGGGGTAAACAGAACTGGCTTGTAAAGGAAAACAGAACTGGCTTGTAAAGGAAAGCTTCTTAGGTATCAAAGACTGATGGTAACTGCTGCAAAGGACTCTCCTAAAATCCTATTTATTCTGAGTCTATTTTATTCCTCAATTAACAAACCTGCCGTTAAATAATCTGGATCTTGGTATTCACTGCAAGAAAAACCTTATTCTAGGGGTAAAGGGCTAAATCAGGGCCCACCATCATAATGCAGAGAATTCGTCTGCAAGTGTAAATGGAGAAGGCGATGACCTGGCATCACTGCTTAGCTGTTCAGTGGGCCTTCATTAGGGCCCAGAGACTGCCATGCTGCAGCACAAGGTCCGCAGACACTGTGGCCTAAGTGTTGAGACCCTCAGAGCTCCTCAGGATGGAACGGGAATGGAGTGCAGGTAATTTTATCACAAGGGCTTCAGTCTTTTTCTCTTAGTTTCTGGATGATTGCCACAGTCTTATAAGTTCAACAGCTTCTCAAAGATGATTAGAAACAGCAGGAGTGAGGCAGCATACACATTGTCCTTCACTATGTAAGCAACCCCTCATAAACTCAGTCACTAAGTTGTAGTTGTCTGTGTCATGCTGTGTGCCTTCTCAGTTTGGAGGCAAATGTTTCTTTTATATCTTTCTATCAATGAATGGGTCAGCAGATGACTGGTATAATTTTAAGTCGCTATTGGCTCTTCCATATATATTTATGTATATATATATATATATATATATATATATATATTGGCATCCTGGTTCATGGTTTTTTTCCTCAACCATTTGGTTTCAAATAGAAGTGTTTGGCATAATTTTTTGTTTTGAAGCTCTTCTGTGCTAACAAACATGAGCAGAGCCATCTTCCCCACACAAACACAAATGTGGCCACCATTTCCAGAATTATGTAAGGAACTAAGTTCATAAAATGAGGTACCACTGTGGAGTGGGTATATATATATATGTAGTACTAGAGATTGAACACAGGGCCTTTGACATGGTGCAGAAGTGCTTTATCACTGAACTATATCCTCAATCCTTTATATTTTTGTTTCACACAATAGTATTTTTGTTTCACGGGGCCTCACTAGTTGCCTAGCTGGCATTAAATGTGCTCCTTCTGCCACATGGCTAAAGTTTAAGCATGCACTATGACATCAGGCCCAAATACTCTTTAATGTAAATCATAATTTTAAAAGGCAATGTCCTTGTTCCAAAGGAACATAGACACCCTTCCTCACTTTATGAGGTAAGACCTTTATTTTACTGATGCCTTCTTAAACACAACTATGAAAAGCTTGTAAGAAAAGTTTTCTAACAGGTTTCAAAGGTTGGATTAATATCCAAATATAGTCCTTCCCCCCAAAAGTCTGAGGAATGAAGTAAATAATAACAGAAATATTTAGCCATTTACAAATATCCTTCCATCTTTGACATGCATCATGAATGTTAATATAGTTTAACTTGTAATTATTCTGTAGTATGCAAGAGACGTTTCATCTTGGCTAGATCTATTCTTCAAACAAATGCTGTGATATGGAGAACATAGAGAATCAGTTAAATAATTTACCATAGCATTATACTTGTAGTTCTTTGTAGTACTAATTCATTGGTGAATCCTGAGGAGATAGCCTTGAAGAATGAACTCTTTGTTCATTTTGAAAGGATCAGTTCAGGCTGGCCTCAAAGTAGTGGCTATCCTCCTGCTTAAGTTTTCCAAGACCTGGGATTACAGGCACGCTTCACAGTGTTTGTCTGGTTTCACTCCAGAACAAACCCTTTTATGACAACAAAATAAACATTTGACAAGATTCACTACACTCATTATATCTGTAAGGCTGCTCCCCAGTTCAACTATTCTATAGTTTTGATGCTTGGATAAAAGCCTTAATATGCTCTTTACCTTTGTGTGGCTTCGTCAAAAGATACCATTTGGTACCTACTGAAGTTTGAGGCTTGAAGGTCTTTGTTATATATGCATTATGGTATTTTTAACTGTTACTCTTTAGTATGAATTGAGATACTGGTTATTGAACTCATCATGAAGGTTTGCCACTCTACTGCATCTGTGAAATATCAGTCATGTACAAATTGTCCAGTGTTATGCAAGGTGTGAATGTGCACATTTGTTACATTGCTATAGCTTCTCTCCAGGATGATTATGTGTACTCAGGTGTGAGCACTGGAAATAGGGTTTGCCAAACAGATTACATTCTTTAAGGACTTTGTCTAGGATGTATTTTGTGATGTGTACTGAGGCTTTACTGCATACTCATGCATTTGTGACTCTCACTCCATTTGTGAGGTTTCTTTCCACTTTGAAATTTTTGGTGAATAATAATGTCAGATTTTCACCTTAAGGCATTGTTACATTGGTAAGGTTTTAGCTTACAGTTAATTATCTGTTAAGTAACTCAAAGTCTATATCATTACACATGGAAATTATCTTTCCAGCAGGAACTTTCCAAAGCTTTGTAAGGTTCAAACATTAATGACTCCAGTCTCATTTATTTGTCAGCTTTCTCTCTGGGATGAAATTCTCCATTTCATTCCAAGTTAAAAATCATCAGAGATGTCCTTGAGATTTTTTTTTTTTTGGTATGGCCTACATGCTTGCTTAGTTAGGCTTAAGCATATACTAACAGCTTTACTACATGCATTAAACTTGTAACATTTCCCTTCCCAGTGAGTGCTGTGGTACACAAGCTGTCAAATTTGACTAAAGATTTGGGCGCATTCATTACATTTCAAAGGATTTGGTCAAGTATGAATTTTCCAATGATGTGCTAGAGATGAGTTTAGACTGAATACTTTGCCACATTCATTGCATTTTTAAGGTTTCTCTTCAGTATGAATTTTTTGATGATGTGTTAAAGATGAGTTCAGACTGAATACTTTGTCATATTCATTACATTTGTAAGGTTTCTCTCCAGTATGAACTCTACGATGATATGCAAGGTATGAATTTTGAGTGAAGACCTTTCCACTTTCATCACATTTGTAAGGTTTCTCTCCAGTACAAATTCTATGGTGACATATGAGATGGGAATTGCGATTGAACGCCTTGTCACATTCATCACATTTGGAAGGTTTCTCTCCAGTATGAATTCTACGATGACATACAAGATGGGAATTGCAACTGAACACCTTGTCACATTTATTACATTTGAAAGGTTTCTTTCCACTGTGAAATAGCAAATGTTCTGCAAGATATGACTTATGGCTAAACCCTTTACCACATTCTTTACATTTGTAAGGTTTCTCTCCAGTATGGAGTCTTTGATGATAGGGAAGACTTATGACTAAAAACATTGCCACATTCACTACATTTGTAAGGTTTCTCCCCAGTATGAATTCTACGATGCTGTGCAAGGTGTGAAATATGGTTGAAGACCTTGCCACATTCATTACATTTATAAGGTTTTTCTCCAGTATGAATTATCAAATGTTGTGCAAGGTAGGAATTGTTACTAAAGACCTTGCCACATTTATTACATTTGAAAGGTTTCTCTCTAGTGTGAACTGTTCCATGTCGGGCAAGGCGTGAAATTTGATGGAATACTTTTCCACACTCATGACATTTATATGGTTTTTCTCCAGTGTGAATTCTATGATGATTTGCAAGGTATGCAATCCTTTTGAAGACTTTGCCACATACATTACATTTGTGTTGTTTCTCTCCAATGCGGATTTTCTGATGATTTGCTATGTCTGATTTATGGCTGAACACTTTGCCACATGTATTATATTTGAAAGGTTTTTCTCCAATATGAATTTGCTGATGTTGTGCAAGGTGAGAAATATGATTGCAAACTTTTCCACATTCATTACACTTATATTGTTTCTCACCTGTATGAGTTCTCTGGTGACTTACAAGATTTGATTTCTGATTGAAGGCTTTCTATATAGACCACATGTAAATTGCTCCTCTCTAGCACAGACTGTTTGATGCATAGTAAAGTGTGGGGCTTAATTAAAAGATCTGCTGCAAGAATTCCATCTGTAAGGTTTTGTACTAATGTACATGTCCTGTTCTTTTGTGAAAAATAAAGAATCAAAAAAATCTTTTTCATGTTTATGAGAAATATTTGTTGTAACACTAAAATTATTATTTTTTGTGGAATGAAACTGTGGAATCATTTTTGACAGATTGTTTAATGTAATTCCATTCAAAAATGTTTCTTTCTCTTGCATATAGCTGCAGTTCAGGCAGATGTGACTGAAAGCTTAATTCAAGCCAATTTTTAATATATTCCTTTCCTGTATCCTTTCTACCATGTTCATCTCTTCTATCAGTGAGATGTTCCTTGTGAGTCACACAGAATCCTGTGTCAAGTCTTCCATCCTCTCTGCAGTGACAATGAATGTTATGTATATTTTTCTGGATTTCTTTGAAGCACAATTCTTCATGGATTTTACGACTTTCTGAAATTACTGTCTATAACATTTCTCCTGTATCACTTTTCCTTTCTTATGTAAATTCCTTAATGACACATTTAGGAGGGTTATCTATGAAGTAGAAGAAATCACCAGGTTCTGATTAATTATAGATAATAAATAAATGCTGTTACAGAAACACATGACATTACACCAAAAGAAATAATACATATATTAAAGAGTTGTGACATCCATGATTTTTAATTTTTAGGAAAATGAAAGGTACAAATCTTTTGATGTGGAAAGTCTGATTACATGGAATTCAAATTAACTGCAGAAATGCTCAGTTTCACACCTATTTACAGAGGCAAAACACAATGCCAGAAGGCACAGAAAACAAGAGCACAGAAAATAATATTTCAATGATAAACAGAAAAGCAGCGCTGTGTTGTGATAGTGTCACTCAGTTATCACTCACAGAAAATGTTATGTTAAGTGATCAACACTGTATATGATAACTTAGGTAGTGTCCTGAGAACATCTAAAGGATGAGTAGGTGTCTTTCATTATCCTGTGAGGTTAGTGTGGGAGTCCTTGCAAATTCGAGTGTACAGAAGAACAGACATAAACTAAGAAGCAGCAGTAGGCTGCATGCAGATCAAGGAACCACACAAAAGAAAGCCAGCCTGGGGAAAGGCAAGCATGCAAGGCAGCAGTAAGAGCTGAGAGAAAGCAGCCTGAGCTGCTGAGTTTGTAGGGCTGGAATTGCACAAGGGTAGTTAGTATTCCTACTACTGTGAAAAAGAGAAACAGATACAGCAAGTGGCACAAAACTCTCATTCCCATATTTAAGAATGGGAAAAAGCTTTTGACAGAGTCTAGTACCCATTCATGATAAAAACTCTACAGAAAATTCGAATAGATGGTCTTCATCTCAATCTGATAAAAGCCATCTACAACAAACCAATAGCCAACATCAAACTAAATGGACAAAAACATTCACTCTAAAATCTGGAACAAGACAAGGATGTCTACTGTCACCTCTCCTATTCAACATAGTCCTGGAAACCTTAGTGGGAGCAATAGACAAGAGAAAGAAAAATAATAAAGGTAGGAAAGGAAGAAGTTAAACTATTGTTATTTGCAGATGACAAGGTACTCAGAAGACCCCAAAAACTCCACCAAAAGACTGCTAGATTTAACAAGCTAATTCAGTAACGTAGCTGAATACAAGTCAACACTCAAAAAATCAATAGCCTTCCTATACACAAATAACAAACTCACTTAGAAAGAAATCACGAAAATAGTACCTTTTACAATAGCATCCAAAAAAAAATAAAAGAAACAATACATAGGAATCAATCTAACAAATGATGAAAAGACCTCTGCATTGAAAACTACAGTACTCTGAAAAAAGGAGACTGAAGAGAATACTACAAAATGGAAAGATATTCTGTGCTGCTGGGTAGGAAGGCCCAAAATAGTGAAAATGGCCATACTTCCAAAACTATTACACAGATTCAATGCAGTCCTAATAAAAATTCAAGTAGCATATCTCATAGAATCACAGAAAACAGTCCTAAAATTCATCTGGAAATGGAAGAGACCTAGAATAGCAAAGGTAATCCTGAGCAACAAAGACAAGATGGGGGTATCACAATCTCTGACTTGAAATTATACTAAAAAGCTACTGCGATAAAAAAAAAAAAAACAGTGGGTCATTGGCAAAAACAAAAAAACAAAAAACAAAAACAAACAAAAAAAAACAGATCCAAAGATCAAATGGAACAGATTAGAAGAGGCAAGAACAACTTCAGACACACTAAACTACCTTATATTTGACAAAGGTGCTATACACATTCATTGGAAGAAAGATAGCCTCTTTAATAAATGGTACTGGAAAAACTGGCTCTACATATGCTGAAGATTTAAACTGGACCCATATCTTGTGACATATACTAAGAAAAACTGAGAATGGAACAAAGATCTTAACATTAAAACAGAAAAATTAAAGCTGCTGGAAGCTAGAGTAGGTAAAATTCTTTAAGACACTAGTGTAGGCAAAGACTTAAAGAATAAAACTTCGACTGCACAGGAACTATCACAAAGAATCAACCACTGGGTTCTTACCCTACCAAAAAGCTTTGCACAGCAAGAGAAACCACCAAGAGAGTGAAGAGACAACCAAAATGTGAGATAAAATGTTTGCCGGCTGTGCCTTACACATAAGATCACTATTGAGAACATACAAAGATCTTAAAAAAAATCAGTCCTCCTACATTTAAAGATCCAATCCAAAAATTGGCATCTGAGACGAATGTACACTTGTCAGATGAAGAAATATGAACTGCAAATAAATATGTGAAAAATGTTTAACATCCCTGGATTTGAGAGATACAAATTAAAATAACACTGAGATTTTACTTCACTCCAGAAAAAATGCTGTTATTAAGAAATCAACCAATAATAAATGCTAGAGGGGTTGTGGGGAAAAAGGAACCCTTCTCCATTGTTGGTGGAAATCCAGACTGGTACAACCACTGTGGAAAACAGTGTGGACATTCCTCAAAAAGCTATGACTTGGAGGGTCCATTTAACTCAGCTATTCCCCTTCTGGGTATTTCCCCCAAAGAATGAAAAACATCATACCACAGCAATATATGTGCACCCATGTTTATAGTAACACGGTTTGCAATAGCCAGCTCTTGAAAACAACCTAAATGCTCACTGACTGAAGAATGGAAAACATATGTAGTATTTTTATATAATGCAGTACTACTCAGCCACAAAGAAGGATAAACTGGAGACTTTTATAGGTAAATGGATTCAACTTGGGACCATGCTCATTAGTGAAATATGACACAAATGTAGAAACACTGTATTGTCTCATTAGAGAAGCTAAAAGAAACACCATATGTATATGTATGTGTATAAAAACAGACAGTTACGATAGTTATACTACTGATTTCTCTTGAGTTCACTGAAGAGAAAGATTTGTGCTCGTATTGTGTAGACAACTGAATGCAGATGTCTTATGCTCTGGGTGAATGACTGGGGGATGACAATGCACAATATATGTATCATTGTTGCCTGAGACAAATGTGGGAGTAGCATGGATACTTGACACTTTGAGATTTTTAGGGTTTTTTTTTCTTCTTTTTTTTCCTCCTTGAAATAAAATGGATTTGGGGGAAAAAAAAAGAAATGTTGCAAAATGGCATAACAACCAAAAGGAATGATCCAATGTTAGAAGTAGGTCTAAAAACACGGTGAGGCTCTTGGTAGGGGTGAAATATATTGGACAAAATGCCAGCAGTGCTATTGTGCGTTCGAAGCCGTAACAGATCAAATGCTACAGGATGCCGTGAAATACACAGAGGCTGAAATGCAAGTAAAAGGTTCCAAGTATACCAAAAGCCATATTAAAAAATATATTTATTATGATCCCTCACTAATTGAACTGAAAGCATTCATATGTCTGATGTACTTAGCAGGGATTTCTCATTATTGTCACAGGAATGAAACAGACTTATGGAAAAGAGATGGCTCAAAATAAGGCATAAAGACTTATAACCTTGTATATATGAAGTTTTACTATGCTTTCAATTTAGCTATTTATGCTAGAACTCAACTGTCAGGTCCTTATTTGTAGAATATATGAATTATGTTGTGAACATCTCCCATCTCCCAAACTAAGAAGAACGTAACATTCAATTACTGGTTTTTCAGTTTCCAACTGCTGTTATATTTGCTAACAGAACACAAGTTGCCAGCAGGAACTGTACACAGGAATAAAGCAGAAATCTCAAATGAAATGTATTCATGATGTTTTCTGTTCCTGTTAACTACACACTGTATAAGAGAATAAGAACCTCCTGACGAAACAGCAAGCCCTATGAACTGTCAAGTATGTCCTACAAAAAGGTCAGGAAAACAAAATGCATGTGCCATCAATATGATATGTGTGCATGGAACATATGTACAGACTTAAGTGTAATAATTGATTAAAGATTTTTTTTTGTAAGTGCTATTGGTGTTTTCATTTTAGTTCATACAAGAATTTATCTGTGTTGTTCTATTTTAGACCTTGCACACCAAAAAATAGTTGACATTGAACATTTTGATGTTTTATAAACACTCAATAAAGTATTAAAATTTCAGTATTTTAGTAATTTTTTTTCCTGGTAAGTATTCACTATTTAATATAACAAAACTCATGAATTTCAAATGAATAATTCATCAATAGATATATTTTAAAACATAAATGTAGGTCCTACACACCCACATTTTTGTGCCTTTATGGCAAAATTAGTGTTACATTCCTAATGGTGCAGTTTCCTCTCTACTCATCTCAGCTCTTACCTGTGTTAACTTCCTCTCTACCCATCTCAACTCTTATCTATGTTTACAGCTTTGATATATTTCCACTGACTTGGATTTCTAGATATTTTCACTTGGCCATCCACATTCCAGGGTTCTGCTCCTTGCTTCAACACAGAGACAATACTCAGTTCAAAAGGAGAGATTCCTGCTTGCAAAAAGAAAGGCAGGTGATGTGCTGTGGCTTTTCCACACTCCAGTCCTGTTTACTTGAAGAAGAGATTACAGAGTGATGTAGACAAGTATTTCTCTGTTATATCTCAGATATCAGATATATCTAACTCTCTCCCAAGAACCAATTATTCAAAGGCACTAGGCTCAAAAACGAAACTGCATACTTCAACAGTCTCCAATAAGTTTTCATTCACATTTCATCTCTAGAACCACCACTGGCATATCAACCACAAACAGGGCATAATACCTGAAGAAAGAGCACTATTAAAATCCAGATGACACACTATGAAGCTACAAGTTTCAGAGACAACAGGACATTTGTCTCAGGCAAACAATACAGAAGACTCCATGAAGACACAAGGGAAAATGCAAAAAGACACAGAGTAGACCTGACTTTTGAAAGGAAGTCATCCTCACCCAGGGAGATCAGGTTCCTATAGTTCTCCAGCATCACCTCCCTGTACAGAGTCCTCTGAGCAGGGTCCAGGCATTCCCACTCCTCTCGAGAGAATTCTATGGCCACATCCCTGAATGTCAACAGATCCTGAAATGAAAAACATGTATCACCATGGGGACATGGGGAGTGCTGTAATATACATATAAAATGAAAAGGAGAGAAATGTAAGCGCTGATTCAATTGAAGTGAACAAGCAAAATTCATACTGTTATGTCAGGACTTTCCCAATACAGGTCACTTTCAATCTCTGGAATCACAAAGGCTAATAAGCTAACTTGTGACCAGAGATTCCCATGTAGCCTAAGGAGAGGGGCTTCTAGATGGTTATGACATTCACTGTAGCCCTTGACCTCCAGGAAGGGATGGGAAGTGGATGTTAGAACTGATCAGCAATATCAATGATATAATTAATCGCACTTATGGAGTAAAGACTCCATAAACTCAAGAGAACAGGTTTCAAAGCAAATGTCAGATGGATGAGTGTCTAGAGGTTTCTGAAAGGTGAAGCATCCACAGAAGGCAGAGGCACACCATGTTAATTATCCCATAGCTCATGCTATGCATCTTTTCCATCTAGGTGTCCATCTTTTTAACAAGCTTTACAAGAAATGCTAAGGGTGAGTGTTTTTGCTGGCTTTTGTGAACTGCTTGCTTGGGGTGTGGATAAAAATCCTCACACATCCTGAGTCACAGCTGCTTGTGTGGTAAATATATAGGAGGAAGCATATTTTTTTAATATATATTCACACACAGTAAGGTATTTGTGAGCATGTTGTAGCTCTACAATTGTGTTTCATTACATCTTTAAATAAGAGGTTGTAATACTCTACATCAAGGATAGATTTCTCATTCTCTGTACAAAGAAAGAAATGCTCAAATGAAAAATCAGCATAGGCTTTTCTCTATGAAAAGTGACAGTATTTACATGAGCTAGATAAGGCATGTTAAGAAATGACACAGTGCATATCAGCTTTAAAGAAAGATCAGAAACACAATAATGAAAGCAACATAATGGCTAAAGCTTCAGGACACTTCTAGGTACTGCATACTTTCTAACTGGTTTACTTGTGTAATTCACAGATAATGTACTAGTCCTCAGGAGAAATGTTTCCCTCTTAATATTGAGAAAACTGTGTCACAGACATTTTGGGATTCCCCTTATGTCAGAGCTAAAAATGGCAGAGCACACACCTGAAGCTAGGTGGCTGGGAATAAGAATTAAAGCTAAAGAATCAAACAATTCAGCAATCGATGTAGTATCAAAAATAGACTGACCTTAGGTTTCCTATATGAGAAAACTAGAAACAAGCTCAAGATAACATCATGAATGTGCATGAAAGTTCATTATTTATGTGCACACATATTTTATTTTTCTCACTGCTACCAATACATTAACAGGATAGAGTAGTATAAATTTAAGGCAAAGGAAATTATCTAAGATACAGTTTCTACTGTTAGAAAACTTAAGTTTGGGATGGCGATGTAGCTCAGGGTAGAGTACTTGCTAGTATGCACAAGACCCTAGGCTTGGACTCTAGCATTCCAAACAAACAAACAAACAAAAAAGAAAAGCAAAACAAAAAAATCACATTCCAAGGAAATATGTATATATATTTAGAATAATGTGACCTTGATAAAAAAACATGGAATTGCACATACACATACTCGTGCATACACATCACACTTAAATCAAATTTAAAAGAATCTCTCTGAATGATTTTTTAAATGTTTTTAATCACCACTCATGTTAATGTATATTTCAACATGCATGGACAATGAAAATGTAAAACACATACTTGAGGTTATAAAACACTAGTGTTTACTAGGATTCTTAAAATGGACAACACAAAAATTTATGTAATGGAACTTGAACTCCAGTCTACCAAACATGTATACTAAAACTGTATTTATAACTTCACCCATTTAAATTAAGATATCTAGGCATTACCAGAGTTCCAATGGAATTTATTAGTTTAATAAAACTATATGATTAGGAATTTTTTGAAAATGTGTAGTGCTGGGATCAGACAGAAGGCTTCACATATGAAAAGCAAACACTATCTTGGAGCAACATCTCCATCTGAGAAACTTTTTAATAACATTAATTTAACAGATCAGCAGAAAAAGATTACATATTATAGAAATACATAATGAAAAGAATTATTAAAAAATTAAAAAGCAGCCAAAAAATGTAACTTGAAAATGTAAAACTACCAAGCCTGATATTTACCAAACATATTTCATCAAACCATGCCTGGCAGTAAACACGGGGTGCATTTCCTCGTAGTGAAGGATAAAAGGGTGCTGGTCGGGTATCAGCCTGTCACTACTATACAGGACGCCTGAGCAAGGATCAGTAAGGAACAAAAAGGTAGAAAACAAGAGGCAAAGAAGATTAAAAAAAAGCTGAATTTGTTAACAGCTAATAGATTACATGACTACATCCTGAAAAAAGAATGGTATTTAAATATAGGAAGTAAAAACTTAAAATTACCTTCCTCCCTTAGTGGCTCTCATTAAGCACACATGCACATTTACATATGAAACATCTTACATCTCCATTAGCAATTATACCAGGTCACTTAAGCAAAAGACATTGCCTGATCCATGAAAAGAGAAAAGAAATTACATAACTGTTCTGAAGGACTGATGCATAGCTGTAGTTGAGCAAGAAGCTCCAGGTGTTCCCTATCTCACAGAAACAAGAATTTAATAACAATACAGCAAAAACCACCTTTACAAGACAGAAAACAAATGAGAACACTGCTTTACCTGAATAACAGCCATTTTTGACTCTTTTTCTTTCTTTTTTCTTCTCTTTGAGACTTTCTCCTTATGTAACAGGAATATTTAAAGGTTAATCCTGAATATCAAAAACATAACAGTTAAATGCTCAGAAAGAACACATCCCCTTCTGGTCACACAGCTATATACACAAAACAGAAAAACTCACAGTGTGGAAAGGTGGGTCCACTGCTGCCCACTGCAGTGAGGTGGCGATCCAGGGATATGAAACTCCTTCAGGAAGCCCAAGCAGAGACTTTCTCCACACTTCTTTGGAGTACACTGTCCTCCTGGTGAATCCCCTGCACTCAGCAGCAGTGGGGAGCCTGGCAACAGTGAGTTCTCCTTCAGAACATAGTCCTGGCCCTGACCAAACCCATGCATACCATTTCCCACTCTTTCCTCCATGGAGTACAAACTGATCATAGCTCTCAGAAATGCAAGACCCAGTCTGGTGTCCAGACTGCACATCTAATAAAATCTACTTTAGTATTATGAAGGCTTAGTTCCAGGCTGATCATGGGAACTGGACTCTCCCATTAGGAGCCAAAGTAGAATTATTTGCAAAACATCTCAGCACTCCAATGGGAACCCAAGGTTAAGCACCACCCAGGGAGGCAAACCCAGTCCACCTCCCACCTTTTGGTTCCACTTTCTTTGAAGCCCTGTTGTCCGAGGATCCATACAGTGGACTGGGAAGGATCAGAAAATAACTATAGAGCAGGGAGCATGGACCCAGGTGGGGGTGAGGGTGTGGTTAGGATGTTAGTGGAAGGTGGAGGCCATGGACTTTTCCATGGAGATGCAGATAGCAGAACAAAGACCAGGGAAGGTAGGTGTCTGATACCTGTAGCTGATGGCCCTGTGAGTTCTAAGCAAAGACAGAACCCAGGGAAGGTTCTGAGCCAGGAGTTACAGTGGCCCCAGGAAATGGCAGGAGGCTTGTGTGGCTGAAGCAGAGTGAAAAGGAAGGAGGATACTGCAGGCAACGAAGGGAGGGAAGGGCTTCTAGAAGCACAGCAGGTGTAGATGAGATCTAATATTTCTCTCCCACTTGTCAAATGTATTTTGGAAATGATGGCATTTCACCACTCACCTGATATAAAGATGTGATTTTGGTACTTTTTTTTTTTTTTTTTTTTTTTATTTGAGACAAGTCTGTGGCCTCCATCTTCCACTGTTTAAAGTCTTCTCAGTTGTTCGGAAGTGTGTTTTTACTTTGAAAATTATGTTAGCTGCATATTTTAAGCTACCTTTTTTCTCTTTCCAAGTGTTTTGTGTCAAGTGCAGATAATGAGGCTTATGGCAGTTGGTTTTCATTTTAATTAAAAACACTTGAAATATTTGCAAATATTCAATAGAGATGACTATTCCTTTGAGCAATAGAAGTGAATAGTAAAACTAGTTCTTAAAATTTTTCAAGAGTATCTCATAGTCTTAATTTAATTTTAATGTACACTATTATTTTTAATTTAAAATGTGGGTTAGTAACTCATTTCCTGTTTCTAGGAAATAATGAACTGAATGCTGTTGGAATCTCACTGTACTTGATCACTAGAACACATACCCAGAGATTTCCAATAAAGGATAGTTCTCAGAATTTGAAGATTTTTTTTCCTCCTAAAATTTCTCTGAGGTTTTAGTCTTTAAAACAAATTCATAATCTCAAATAGATTTACACTTTAGAGGATAAATTTCTCTTGGAAAAAGAACAGAAATAGTGCTTACTCTGTTCATAAAAGAGCCCTTCAAGAATTGCTTAGGAAAGAGGCAAAAACAATGAGAAAAGTATACTCGAAGTGAGGGGGAGGACTCGGAAGGAGACAAATGGCAATGTGTCTTTTAATGTAATAAATTAAAAATTTCAGCACCTTTGTTTTTGATCAGCCCTCGTAAACAGTGTCAAATGATTAAGCTAATGCAATACCCATTTTCACAATTGCATTGAGCGATGAAAACATTTAAATTAGCAATTTTGAAATGTATATCACATTATACGAACATAGTCACCAGGTTGTATAATAGATCTCAAAAATCGTATGTGTCCTATTCAGCTGAAGCTTTGTACCATTTCACCAACATCTTCCTATTCCTTACAACCCCAGTATCTGCTAACCATTGTTCTACTTTCTACTTTAAAGTGTCCTGCTAGTTTTGATCCACGTGTAAGTAGGAACATGCAGTATTTGTGTTTCTGTACAGGGCTTATTTCAACTAACATAATATCCTCCAGATTCATCCACATTGTTTCAAATGACAAAATTTCCTTCTTTTAAAGGCCAAATATATATGGAGCTATGTATCTGTATCTCATTATACACAAATGCATATAATATATACACCAATTTATCTACTTACAGATAGATATCCATCTTTCTATATACATTTATTGACATTTAGGTTAGTTTATTAACTTACCATGCTTACATCACTGAAATGAAAGCTCCAAAATAATCAAGTTCCAAGGAGGCAAGGTTTATTTTTACTCACAGGTATGGAGATTACATTCTACAGTCAGTTGGTCCTTTAGTCTGTGGATTTGGAACCCATGGTAACACAGCACATCATGGGGGAACACATAGCAGAGAAAGTTATTAATTCATGGTGGTCAGAAAGTAAAGTAATAGGAAGCAACTAGGGATCCCTACGTCTCCTTTAAGGGCACACCTCTGATAACACCTTCCATCTAGGCCACACGTCCTAAACTTTTCATATTTCCCATGAATATTATGGATTGAGGACAAAACTACTGACATAAAGGTTTTTGGGGATTTGGGTTAGGGTTAGAGTGGCATGGAGTGTGTGCCACAGTAAAGCAGTGTTAAAAGGAAAAAACTGAAGTCCTGCAGTCTCCTTTGAGGCATGTCTTCAGTCACCTTATGACCTTAAGGGTCCACCTTTTAGAATATCCACTACTTTCCAAAAGTGGTGAGTTGCAGATCAAGCCTTTGTCTCAAAGGCCTTTGATGATATCCCAGGTTCCACTTATATGTTCTGCCAGTTCCATAGAGATGCTCTAAATGACCAGAGGGGATGATGCACAGACAGATTTGCATCACAGCTAAAAATGTACAGCTTAAAAATCCCCATTTTCCAAAGTGGGCAGCAATCAAATCTGCCCAAGCTTTGCCCCAGAGGAGGTATTACATTTATTGTGTTGCTTAGGTAATCTTTCCCTTGATTTGGAGATCAGTGCTACTGTGAGATTCGTTTTTATTAAAGACAAAACAAAGAAAATGTGCTAGCTTTTCATCATTATAATTAAATACCCTTACAAAGAAAAAGAGGTTTATTATCATCTGAGTTTTGTGGCTCAGAATTCGTGATCAAATGGCCTCATTAGTGTGGGCTCTGGTGAAAACAGCAGACGACTACGCATCATGCTAAAGTGCCTGTAAGCTGAGTAATCACTGTTGAGCCACGAAGAGAGCAGGAGAGGGCAATGGAGGCCATGTTCTTAAAACAGTCCTTTTGTGAATACTCAAAAGGTAATATGCGAATGACCAGTGGTCACACATGAACAACTTGACGCCTCAGAAACCTAAGGACTTCCCATCAAGCACACTTTCCAAAGGTGCTATGACTTCCCAATAGCCCATTGGGATTTAAATATATACCTATGATCAAACTAATGATTTTGTTTTTAAAGCCACTGAATCTTTAATAATTTTTATCACATTTATATGTACATGTAGGCAAGTATGTTGAAATGTTTTGTATACTTGCAAAATAACCATTTTACTTCTTTCGAAATATATTGTCACCATCTCTACATAAGTAGAATGGATTTATAACTTTTCCCTCCGACGGACTAGTTCTTTGTTGTCTCCAATAAATGTCAATAAAACGAAGGCTTTCACACACTTCATCATGACAGTGTTCATTCCCCAGTCTCTTTATTCCAACATGATTGATTGAAATCATCACATTATGAAGAAGAAAAAATATCCATGTTCTACAGATGCACAAACCAAAAAAATCTCATATATATATATATATATTTTTTTTTTAATTTTATTTAAAGAGAAAAAAACCAAAACAAAACTGTAAAAAGGTACAAGTAATACATAATTTCAAAAAAATAAACAGTAAGAAATCACTAGTTACCAGATTACATATTATCATCTTAGAAATATTGTTCAAGTAACAAAATTAAAGCATACAAAGTGGACATTCAAACAGTGAGACTGCCAACAGTTGTGTTCAATGATCCAACAAAAACTTAGTAATATGGTTTTCTACCTTACATACTTAAATATACGTGCAGTTATATCCTTTAGAGCACTTTCTTTAGCTCTCTTTTTTTCAGTAACAATTACACATTTTGGGTTTTATTACTCCCACAGTTATTACTTTTTTTGAAGAGAATAAAACCAACTGTGACAAAACAAAACGGAGTCAGTCAAAACAAAAGGATGGACATAGGACATGATGTAAAAACAGAATACCAGGTGATCAACAACGGTTACCATAATGCCTCTTACTATCTTAAAAAGAGTTGCCTGTATCATCAGGTATAATAAAATTGAACAAAATAGTACAGAACAAAAGCAATAAGACCTAAACATTGGAGACCTTACACGACTTCAAAAGAAGATAATAGTCAAACCAGAATGGGCATCATAGTGAATTTTATTGCCTTCAAAGTAGTTGCCTATACTCTCAAACAAAACAGAATAGAGTAAAATCAGTCAAAACAAGTTTGTGAGAGCAATATAGGGGTTCAAATCAAGTGAAACACTATGTTGCTTAAATTGTTCCGTTCTGACCTATGTTGTTATGTCATCTTTTATCTCAATCTCCCTTTTTCCCTTGTTTATTAAATTAATTTTTTCATTTTTTTAATTAAGGGAAAATAAATTTAAAAATAGCAGCATATATTATAGTAACTTTTTTGTTTTCCCATTTTTTAAAATTATAAAGAATCATCTAATTTTTGTAAAAAAAAGAGTCAATGGAAGAATACTTCATACTCTCCTTTGCATTATTATAGTTCATGCTAATGATCTCTAAACGACAATGTATTAAATAACTGGAATCTTTCCATATGAAATTTTAACTTTTATTGTTTTCTTCTT